CAGGCTTCTTGGTCCTCCGCAGTAAGCTTTCGAGGTGGCGAGTGCATAACGGGAGGCGGCGGAGATGGTGGGCCACGGGGAATCTTCTTGTGTTTAAACTTGGGGGGCTCCATAGGATCCAACTGCCTCTCGACAATCTTCATAATGCGGTCATTCTGGCGGCCGTTGTTGCCCATCTGGTTAGCCGGGGTGTATCGCACAAAAGTCGGCTCTGCTCTTTGTCCACCCCTGACGTTCTTCGGCTTCTGCGCCGACGAAGCTCCTTCGACCAAAGTTTGAAGTGCAGCCTTTGTCTTCTCCATCTGAGCCTGGATCTCCTCCTCAGACGGCTTCTCCAGGGAAATCTCTCCCATATCCACCCGCTGTCGGAGCGGGATCAAATCCTTGAATGAGGCATGGACGGTGCGGTTGTCGGCGTGTCCGCGACGGGCGATCGCGTCGTACTTGACTTTGCCTTCAGCATCGACCTGAAGAGCGAGCGCATTCGACTTGGACTTTCCCTTTCGGCCCATGTCGAGGGGGTACTGTGCAACTAGGATCTCAGGGAACGCGCCGCCGTCACCAAAATCTTCGGAGGCGCGAGGTCGCCATCCTGCACGGTTTCCGTAGGGCGGGGGTCCGGTCCTCTAGAAGATAAGATCAATTAGTCCTCGTACTAAGATGTCAATAGAGCATTCACAACTTACTCGCAGGACAACTTGTGTTTCATCAATCTGGTCGGCGCCCACCACGCGCGGACCACGGGGTTGCGCATGCTGTGGCAACTCCTCCTCCTCGCCTGTGTATTTTGGTTTGGGGAGGGACTTGAAAAGTCCTGAAGCAATAGAGGTCGACATTTCAAGAGTGAGCAACTCAAGAGCTGTGCACTCGTGGATGATGAGAAGAGATCATCAAGTGACACTCCATTCGGCTTTTCTGGACAAACTGCGCGGTTGGTGTTTGTAGAGTGCCGTATCCTATTATGCCAAGACATTCTGACGTTGAGTAACAATTCACCGAGTGAACACTAGTGAGAGAAGACACCTACAATAGAAGAAATAGATATCTCTGGAAAAACTGAGATGCGTAAAGAAGGAAGAAACTATCTACAGATGCTGAGACTAGATGATCAAACAATAAGGGGTCACGTGATTTGGCCTCTGACCTGCGCTGCCTGATTTCACAGTACGAGAATGAATTATATAAATGATTACTGTGAGAAGGTCTTCAAGATTGAAAGTGAATGTATTTACAGCTGTGAAAAACGACTATTCAGACCTACAAATAAGGGTAGAATCAGTAGAATCATCAGAATGGAGGTTGAAATAGTAGGTCGCTAATGAACGACTAGATGTTATAATTACATGGCAACAAAGGCTTTTTGACCTTTAGGTGATTCTAGGTATACTCACTCGGATAAAAAGTGCGTGCGCATGGGGCATGCAATGTCCTCTTTATCACCTGCCTCGACGAAATGATCACGCCCCTGGAATCTATACCAGATCTTCAATCTTTTGGGCAGCAAAGGCGCAGGATCATGGAAACCCAAAATTTGGAACTAGACAGATGAAAATTAGTATTCCGCTAAAAAATAATGACGAATCCAAGGCCTATCGCTTGACTTACCTTGATTGTTTTGCCAGGAATCACCAATTGACCCCGGTTAACTAGTGCAGCCACAGGGATCGTGACATCGATCACTCTCGGCTCCTCGAACCCATTTTTGGGTTTCTTGTTCACTGGGGGTATATAACCATACTCTGCTTTCAAGATGATCAGACCATCTTGTGTTTCCTCTCGCGCTTGGCGTCTTTGCACTTGGTCCGTCATGAGCTCGATGGCCTGGAGGCTCTCTTCGCGTTTCTTTGGAATCAACTTCTTGAGCTCACGGTGGCGTCGAGCAGCTGCCTGTCGACGGAGTTTCCTATCGCGTGGACGAATATAGCCAAATTCAATCGCACAATAGGCCAGCCAAGGGAATATAGCAGTCAATGCTGCAGCGCCACTTGTTGCCTCAGTAGCTGGACAAACATTGATCGGAAGATTAATGTGCTGGCCGAGTCGACTCCATGAAACTGTCATCATGATACCCTTGTCGGCGATGCCAACACCGAGCCCAACACGCGTGTACTCGCCAACCCGACGAACACCCTTGATGGTCCAATTGAGAGACATGTCTAACCCAACAACGCTAGAAATCTCGAGTCGCACAGCACGCGGCTGGTCCATCGACGGCATCGGGAAGTACCCCTCAGAGCTCCACTCAGTCTTGACCGGATCATCGGCGGGTTTTCCGGAGAAGAGGTTCCGAGAATAATTCAAAACAAAAGCGCCTCCGCCGGGAGTAGCCTGGAGATACGTCTGCCATGACTCGGCAGATTGGTCGATTTGGCGTTTTTTCTTGAGAAGATGACGGACGTCCTCTTCCATTTCTCCACTCTCTTCCTCGTCATCGTCATCGAAATCGATGGCAGCTTGGCCCTGCTTGGGCAGCGAGATTAGACCAATTTGCAAATTACTGACCTCGTTGGCAGATGCAATGGCACTCTGCGCACCCATTCCCAGTGTTGGGAACCAATTGAGAAGAAATTCGGGCCAATCAACAACACCACTAGACCATGTAATGACACCGATCTTCCTCTTGGCAATTTCCCTTGAAATTTGAACCTCAAAAGAAGGCGGTGTTTCGTCCAAGGAGCGCTTGTGTATACTAGTCACGCTGACCTGGAAAGGCTTGGTGCCGGGGATTGGCTGGAATGCTCGAGCAATGTTCGCTTTAAGGGTCGGGGTAGGGAGAAGAAGAGCATTGAGGGTGATTTGGGAATCCCTAAGGAGAGAGAAAGGATGTTTGGCCCAGATACCCTTGGTGCCGACGAGGTTTTTGAAATTGGGAGTCACAGTGGCCCCAAATTGGAAGTTCTGCGCCGCTAGGATGGGTGGCATTTCGAACTACAAACCGATTAGCAAAATTTCGAAACGCAGTCTGTAGTACTTCATACCTTTTCTTCTCCTTCTGTCCCGTCCTCGTACTCAACTGTGACCTTTTTAATCGGCCGAGCCAAACCTCCAGTTATACCCGCGTTGAAAGTCAACTGCATGTCCTCTGCTTCTTCGTCTTGCACATCTTCTGCTGGATCTGTTTCGACGCCCTCGGTTTCTTCTTTATCCACTGCACTCCAAATCTGCGGTAATGACACCGGCGCCTTGAAATTATACGAAACGCCATACGTGGACACTTTGGGTGAAGGTATATGAAACTGCACATCGTCGTCTTCATCGACTGAGACCATAGTCGACGCGTTGATCCCGAGGGTAATGCCGCCCTAATCCAAACCCCAACGATTGTCAGTAACTGCCTGCCCATTTCGCACCTCCTAACGGAAAACCAATACCGAAACCACATACCTTGCTGGAAACCAGACTCTCCACAGCCTTCCGCTCCCGTTTCTTCATCGTTTTCAAGAACCAGCGCCGGAACTGATCCGGCGACATAGCCTTGACACCAACATCCTGTCGTTGTGCCTCCCCGCCAACCCCCATAGCCCCAAGCTGGCCCCATTCCTGCCGCACACCCGCTGCACCCGATATATCGTACACAATTCGCTTGTTCGGATCAATGAGCGTCTCGTACGCCTCCTGGATATGTCTGAACTGACTCTCGGCCGCCTGACGGAGATGCGGTGGCTGTTTGTCGGGATGGAAGCTGAGGGTCAAGTTGCGATAAGCGGAGCGGATCTCGGCGTCTGTTGGGGGTGGATTGCGCGCAAGGCCCAGTAGGACATAATAGTCGGGTTCCTCTGGGTACTCGCCGATCATGCTATAGTCAGCGTCGAGTCCGTCATCTTCCACCGTCGCGCGGTATTCCGACGCCCCGGGAAACTCTGTCCCGGGGGATTGGTTGAAGGAGGTCATAGGAGCTTTCTTTTGTTGTATCTATATGTATAACCCCATTTTGGGGTGGTTGGATGAAGTGCAACAAATGAAAGGTAGGTGGAGAGAAGGAAATTCCGGAGAAACCTTCCGCATCTCCGTTGGAATCCCCGCTTAGTTGTATAGTGGAGCTTTAACTGAGCTATTACCCAGGTGCTTATGATGAAGTACTACAGAGTATTTAATCCTATTTAATTTTAATTACGCCAAATCTACTATAGAATAGAATACATCGTAGAAAACAATGCCTTTGTTCTCAGGATCCCTCAATTCCCATTGGCTTAGAGCCAACATCAGTATTAGTATTAGCTTATTAATGTCTACAAATGTACTACCTATATAGATAGCAAATCTCTCTTATAATATACAATTGCAAAATTGGCTAATATCGATATCTGCCAAGGTGCCAGCGAGGTCTTGTTGTAATAAGAATAGGTCTATCCCCACTAAAAAGGGGCTGAGTTATATAGATGTTCGTCAAAACAACGCAGATCAGCTGGTTTCTCAATCAGTTGCAGTGACGATCTCCCTCTATATCCAATAAAGTCCAACTCAAGGCACTAAATTTATATACAGCCTGGGTTGATATTCGTAGATTTACGATTACTGGTGCAATAAATAAGAGCAAAGCAAAGCTAGCTAATACATACATGCCAAGATCTCAATAAAGAGAACTCCCCAAAAGAAGATGAGTAGTAAATCAGCTAAAGTACCCAACTAAAGCTAAGGATACACCGTTGGTACCTGATGTAGCAGTTACGGGTGATCAGCATAGAATCACTTGGCAAAACGAGCCACGTCGACTGTAGACCTCCTCGATAAATGTCAGCCTAATAGAATGCATGAACTATTATAAGGCGTTGAGTGTGGATATATGTTAACCCTAAACGCATACAAGGCAACAGCGCGGTCAACATAGTGTAACTCAATATAAGTGCAGAGTAAGCGAACCCCTACGCCCTCTACCCCAAATCAATTCTTACATATAAAACCCCAGACTAAAAGACTTATAAACTTGCAAGCTGCAAACGCCACTTTCCAACCTCACACTCCCAACCTCCCTTCAACTCATAAAATACCAATCTCCAACAATGACAACCCGCTTAAAAGAACTGGGCGCCCAAAAACCCCCAGTATTCAGAATCAACCTCTCCAACCCACCAGAAGAGCGCTACACAGCCCTAGCCCATCTCTACAAAGACCGCATGCGCTCCGTAACCAGCATATTCGACGACGTAATCCACAACCTCCACCCAAGCATCCCAACAAAACCAATCCACTGGCTAGCCCGTCTCTTCCTCCGCAGACTGTACACAGACGAAGAAACCGCTGAGATCCGCGGCATAAGTCGCGTAACCGGAATCCCCCTGTACCTCCTAATCAGCCTAAACGTGGTCCTGGATCTACTAATGGGCTGCACGAGTGGCGGTGTACGCATGCTCGACGGCCTCTGGACGCGAATGGTTCATTTCCGCACATTGGACTGGGGAATGGATCCACTACGCTCACTGATCGTGCAACTTGAATTCGTGACCAACGACGACCCAGATAAAGTCCTCGCTACGTGCATCACGTACGTTGGTTTCGTGGGGATTCTCACGGGTGTGCGCAAAGATCTGAGCGTTTCGCTCAATTTCCGTGCTGTGCATGACACCCGTCGGAATTGGGGGTTTTATTTTAATCATTTGCTTGTTTTGCTTGGAATCAGACAGTCTATTACTTCGTTGTTGAGACAGTGTGTTCTTCCCATGGCTGGGTCCGGGGGAATCTCGAATACATCGACTATGGAGGAGATACTGGAGGAAGTGCCTTGTTTGCGGACGACGGCTGCGTATTTGATTTTCTGTGATGGGAGGAGTACTGTTGCGATGGAGAAGGATTATGAGACTGCGTTTTGGCGGAGGTCGAGTTCTTTTCTTATCAAAACTAATCATGATGAGGATGGGTCGATTATGGATGAGGCTGTTGCGAAGGATAGGGGGTATACGGGTTTGCGGGTGGCGGATGGGATGCAGAGTATGGCTGAGATTATTGAGGAGAGTAAAGAGCGACAGGCATCGATGCAGGAGAAGTGGGATCGAAGGGTGGAGGATCATGGGGCTTTTCAGCAGCAACTTAAGAGGAGGAGGGTTAAGAATGCTGCTGTTCCACGTTCGGAGTCTATTCATTTGACGTGGAAACGGAATACGAAGGTTGGGTGGGAAGATGGTGCGTCTGAGGTGTCTGTTACTCTTGGGACTGTACTTGGGTGGCTTTTCTCGAACCCGATTGTGAATGAAGATACTCATTACGCTGTCCTGATGGATCCTGCTGAAGGCAGGTTCATTTATTCAGGACAGTTTCCAGCTCAGGTATCATCATAGCGATGTTTTTGTACGAATAAATAAACCATTTACTTATCTCGGCTATTGTCATGTAAACTTCAAGTTGATAGATATATGTACAGGAACAGATAGCAGTATCAGAGCGCTCAAAAGCACGAAAAAAGCAGGAATAAATAAGATACTATAATATACAGATGCAGAAATATGGAACTCTGTTCGAACAGACGCAAATGAGCCAAGTTATGTAGGTCACAGTCCCGCTGATACATGGAAACAATACCTCAGCCAAGTGGCCATATCATTATCGAAATGCATCCATCACATCATAGTAGGATAATAGAGAACAAGATTCTCTCATCACTGCATGAACATCAACATTTCCAAGATATCAATCACGTCGTCACACCAATAGTAGTAGAACTCAATCAAAGAAACCAAGATAAACCTCTCACGGATCTCTAATCCAAGCAATACTACTCTCCGAGATGAGCGTCTCATCCACCCGCAGAGCATTCAAAAGCACTTCTCTAGGCATCGAGCCTGTGAAAAGATCCTCACCCATCGTTGCAGGCGGATGAGAATGCAAAGCGCCAGCATGAACCTTCGTCTCAAGCGGCGGTCCATCGAGCGCAAAGCCCAATTTCTCCGCGAAGACACTCCGCTCATTCAGACAGTTGATCATCAGCCCCAGACGTCTGTGAAGAACAGTGACTAGTTGCAAAGAGCCATCCCAGTAACGGCCCAGTTCGTGAACGGTATCTAGCGCACCTCTGATATAAGAGATGCACTCGTTCAACTGCGACGCCAGACCAGCTGAGCTGAGAACGTCAACGGCTGATAGGATGACGTATCCCAGGAATGGGTTCAGGAGTGTTAGGGATATGGAAGTCTCAGTGGTGTGTCGGGAGGGGATGATTTCTTTTGCGTATTGGTCAAAAGTAAGCGAGATGCGGAGGATTTCGACGGCGTGGTATCGAGCCCGGTGGATGTACTGGCCTAGGATTTCGGGCCGGAGGCTCTGGTAGCGGGCGTGTCTGTACAGTTTCATCAAACTGGCGTGGTAGAATAGATGGGTTGAGATGAAGGTGTCTGCTTTTCTTTGGCGGATGCTTCGTTCTAGGTTTATGGCTGAGAACGCCATATAGTCGGGGAGTCGGGTCATCCATTGGTTGGACTTTTGGATGATGGTTGTGTGGAATTCTTCGGCGAGTCGGTTGTATGCTTCGGGGGGGATGTGTGGTAGCCGGGTTATATGCATGGAGATGTCTCCCCAAATAGCCATGATGTCGATTAAAAAGGCCATTGGACTTAGGGTGGAGCGATCGTCGTCTGTGGAGGCTGGAATGTGGTTGAGGAATGATTGGAAATAAGGGACTGTCGCGTACTGCTGAGTCTCGTATATTTCTTCTCGACACGGGAGCCTCAGGAGGGCTGCATCGGACGAGATGAAGGTCGACGAAGCGGAATAGAGGCTCGAAAAGCGCTGGTCTTTTGTCAGTAACTAGGATTCGGTCTTTAGTTGATGTGCGGATTCTTACATCAAGAACAAAGGCAACCCAAAAGGTTCGTCGTCGGCACTCAATCAAAGCCTGTGGATGTAATCCATAGTCACACTTCTGGCTTTGATTCACAACAACACCGCCAGATTCCACATTGTAACGAAGCCCATACACCGCTCTTCCAGCTGCACCTATAGAGTCCCAGGACCCGACCAGTGACCCTGTAGCGTAGTACCAAAGACTCATTATGATATGACTCTGAGCAAGTTGCAAAGAGAGGCTATGCTGGCTTTGGTTAATGGCAAAGCGGGCTATACGAGAGTATCGCTTCATGGCTGCCATTTTGTCTAGCCTGTCTGAGAACACAGATCCAAGAGCCATCATAGAATAGAGAAGCATCTTGTCGTCTGCAGACTTGGTCGACTCGGTCTTCAACCACAAGCCGAATTGTGCATGCGGGTACATGTGGTACAGACCATCATTCACGTGCAAGAAATAACACTCAGTGTAGTGAATTGCCGCCTCCGGGTCGCTTTCATACGGGTCCAGGTTCCAGGACGCCGCGAGTGGGTCGTCTGAGTTGCTGTCCTTGAGCTCTCCCAGAATGTCAGAGTATTCGGGTGTACGAGTAGACTCGATATGTGGCGGCGGGTGTGCCATGCAATCATCTGCACTGGATATTAACGATGGGAATCGATAGGATCGCGATCTTAAAGCCCTATCCGCCTCGGCCATGGTCTCATACGTGGCTTCTTGGCCTGATGGTGTGACCAGCGAGGTCTCTGAAATCGGTGAGTGGCGGGTAGTTCCAGGAAGGGAGGTCGCGCTTTCGGAAGCTCGAACGCTGTCGTAAAGTGAGGGAGAAACGTCCAAAGCACCGTGGCTAGCGCGAGCGTAAGAATTGCCAGATGGTGCTGCCGACCCTCTCATGTGAGAACGGTTCCCCCGCGGGCTTTGAGAATATTAGCAAATGGTTCAAGACAAGTCCGTGGACGCATGTTTTTCAAAAGTCACGATCACACTTACGCACTTTCGAACCTGCATTCGCGTCCAGATTTGCGGCATTGGTCACATACGGCCTCGGGGGTTGGGTTAGGGTTACACTTGATCTTTTTCTCGCGACAGGTCAAACAGGCAAGTCCAAGACGCTTTCTCGGCCTGCCAGCTTTTGTTATCCCCCAATTTGCGTTGACGGGTGTACCGTCGATGAACTTGGGACAGAAAGATCCGTCTGCGTATACAAAGCAGAGTTCCCCATCAATGACTCGCTCATCTACCACATGAGGCCGGAGGGGCTTGCTCTGTAACCGGGTCGAAGTTTCCGGCGATGATAGTTCTCCACTAGGTACTTGATCATGTGAGGTGCTGTGAAAGAGTAGCTGGCCATGCGGATAAGATGCACCGGATGGATCACTTCTTGTCGGTGTGTGGTTTCGTGTACCTCTATGTCCCTGTAGACCCACTTGTGATAATGAAGGCAGGCCAGAATGCTGTTGCGGGAGAGATTCGGAACGGCCTCTGTCATTTATGGAGATTGGTGAAACCTGGAAATTCGGGTCGTGGCGATGAGGCGGGTATGGAGACTCACGACGCCCTATGATGGGCGTTGAATTTGCAAATGGTTGAGAGTATTGTGGTGAATTGCCCGGTGCTGGAGTGAGTATTTGACTCACGGAGGGAAGTTGCTCTGGCTTTTGGTGTGATCCAGTGTCATTTCCTTGGCCGTCTTTTTTCCGTGAAAATGGATCCGATCCGAATTGCAAACTAGCCGGGGGTGGAAGTAGGTATGGGAGGTCCGCGGATTCTTGTAAATTAGCTGGAAGCTCCGAATCCTGCTCCGAGTGTGGGCCTATGGTGGGAAACATACGACCGAAGGGACCGACATAGTAGCGTATGCCTACGCCAGGATGGGACCCGGCTCCTTGGGGGGTTGACATGGTGGTTGAATTGGATGCTATCGTCGGAGTGCTTCACACAATTTGATCCTCTATACAACCGGGCCAGACAAGCAATGTGACAAGGGGTTTGTGCACTTGAATGGGGTATAGTGTCAAGAAAAGGACCGTGGAATGATTTTGTGAGGTTGTGTCTGGCTGATCCTGGGCTTTCTGTTGGCTTTTCCGGTCCTAGAAAGATAATGCACAAAGGTACCTATTGAAAGGGGCCAGGCGACTTAGCAATGGGCTCATCTCACTAATCTTCTCCCGAGGCATAGGCACTTTCTACATACCAATTTAATTTGCCGTTTTTCAACGAACAATGATAGAATTGAATAGAAAGTTGATCAAAATCGGATGAGGCCAAAGCCGAATAGAAAGATTGTGAACGTTCCAAGCTCGGAAGTGAACGGCGAGCAGGAAGAATAAGAGAGAAGAATTTGTCCAAATGTTGCCAGCAAGCTTTTGGTGAAATTGACGTTCGAGATAGTGAACTCTTGGTAATCGGGTGGTGTGCCGGTGAAGCCGAAAAGGAAAGTAATTGAAGCTGGCTTAGAATACCACCATCTCGCATTAGTCCCGAGCAGTCACGGTCTCAGGTGCATAGTCTCCGTGCTGGGGTGTCTGCAGTATCCCGGTAGCTTGCGCCAAAGTTCAGGATTTGCTAGGCCTTAAACAAGGGCCTATAAACTTGCAGATGTCCAACCCAAGGAGTCACGGAGAGACGGGCCGAGTTGGTGCAAGGAAGCCCCGTATTTAAAATTCAGATCACTGCTGAATGCCGAAATTCCCCAGGATGCAGAGCGGGGAGATCAAATAACAACGAGATCTTGGTTCTAGGTTTGAAGAGGTAGGGATTAGTGGGGGGGTGTCGGTAAACGGTCTACCGAAAATGATATTCGAACACGCCGAGGCCTTTTCAATACCGGAATTCGGAATAGATGTGTGAGGAGACAAAAAAATAACCAAAAATGACAGGCGAAGATGAACCGGAACGATGTAAAAAACCGATGGCTAGACAAAGTAGCGGAAGGGTCTACTAGTGGACACGCCTGAGAAAACGACTAGAAGGACTAGTAGATTCCTAAGATTTTGACGTTCTCTGAGCCTCAGCCTGCAGTGTAAGGTTTTCGGCAGATTTTGAAAAAGGGAAAATGGCTTAAACCGAGGCTCAAAAACAGAAAAGTGTCAAAAGTGAAGAATAAGAAAGGAGGGGAAAGGGTAACGGCCCAAGCAGAAAGTATCCTATTCTAAGTATTTCGTATACAAAATTACCAAAGTACTAAGATTCCTATAACCGATGCTATAACATTTTTTCAAAATTGAAATGAGACAGTTAGAACTCTTTCGGTTTAGGCGGCTCCAAAGAGTGCCACATTCGGAATAGAGTGCCCAATGGTGATGGACTTTTAAAAAAAGGAAATTAAGTTAAGATAGAAATTATACGTAGAAATAGTATATTTGCTCATTTAGAGTGGATACATCGGCATTGGGTCTTCAAACTTGGCATATGGCGTTTTGAGATCGTGTCTAACGGCAATTATATCCTATATTAAATATTAAACAATAAATATAAATATACTTATGTGGTAAGATTATACGGAGTAGTAAAAAAGTATAAAAAGTATAAAGGAAAACCATGGATATAACGATATATGACCACGGTTCACTCTATAATCACATTCTTATATTAATGAAATCATCCACAGGGATCAAGGATCCCTGGTTGACATCCCTACGTTATTGAGTCTTAGGCCCAAATACCTCGAGAATACCCACTCCGTACTTTATACAAAATGACCAATCTCATGCCCTAAGGCATTTGACACTTCCGGGCTCTGCCGTACGATTCATTCCAAGATTGTATATATTAGGGAATACGATATCTCCGGATAAAAGCATTTTAAGATTTATATAGTAGTTCAAAAGTTAAAAATTCCGTAAACCAAAATATAAAAGGGTAAAAAGAATAAAAAAGAATCTACCCTCAGTGGATCCTTTTTTTCTTCGGCCGGAGGGTGGAGCGGGCGATTCAATGCCTAGACGGGCAAATCCTCCTTTCCAGTGTTGGGGCCGCAGGGCTTATCTTACTTTTGAATAACCTCTGATCGACCTGGCAAGTGGAGTGAAGTTGCCTTGTTTGAGATTTTCGAACTACGAACTATACTATATAAAGACTCAAAGCCGAGACCAACTGAGGTTATTTTGTGGCTCAATATTTAGATATTCCTTTAGATGGGGGGGTTTTTTTTTCCTTAGAGAAAGTACAATATGTAGATTATTGTATAGAATATTTCCAAAGTTACCTATACAACACCCCGGTCAAAGTCCCCACTTAGACCAACGGCGATGCAACTCTGAAATTTTGACCACGTAGGTTGTCTCAATTGGCGATCTGATCTGCAAGCCTTCGGGATCATCTTGGACTCAGCCCCTGGAGTGTGCGTTTTCTTTTATAGGAAAGGTCCGAGATGAGAGGCCCGGACTTCGGGATTTCGCCGTTAATTATACTCCAACTCGGCAGTTTGGAGAAGCCAATTTTTCATGGAACTCCTTTTTTTTGGACGGGAACAAGTTTCTCCGAACAATTACCGAAACTACAAATTTTGGGGTGATCGGAGGATTAATCCGCAAGTCCAATTACGAGGCAGATATCCCGTATATCCACTTTACGTGAGTTTATTCTTTTAAACAGTTTCTATGGGGCTAAAAAGTAAAAAAAAAAAAAAAAAAGAAAAGAAAAGAAACATAAATTAGCACATAAATTAGAATAAAAACGGGAATACGGGGAAGGTATAAAGTCCATGCCACCGTGTTATGTATTGCTACCTCATGTTTTGCATCGGCATTAGTGTTGGATTGACTCCCGTTAGCGCTTTGGTCACCCCTGAACCGATTCGTAACTGAGACATGGCTATACTTAGACATGTTTGTGATCTGCGTATATGAGACCCGGGCGTATATACAAGGTTCTATCCAGAACGGAGTTGATTATTCTCCTTATTCGTGCTTATCTATTCGGTTGATCTTACCGAAGACCGCTCTTTACACTTTGCACTTTGCATTTCGCACGTCTTTTCTTTTTTTTTTTCCCTATTTCTTTACGGGTCCGGAGATTTTCCCCTTCCGATCGCACTCTCTCGGTTAATATGTGTATTCCTGAACGTTGCATTACAATCTAACAGAGTGGATTGGGCCAGGATCTGGCTTTACTAGAGGAATACAACAATACTGCGTAGAATGCCCCTTGCTACTTTTATGTAATATCTAATATACAATATGTGTCTCATTCCTAGAAGGTTCTAGATACAAAAGTACACCTCTATGCTTTGACTTTCCATGTACACGTGAGACCTCAAACTCAACGTCATGGAATACAGAGAACCCTTAACTATCAAGAAATAACCCTAATGAAGCTAACGACCCCAACCAGTCGGATCAGTAGCATGAGGATAACATGCAGAAACAAAAAAAGCTCAACTGACGTACCTCGGGCTTGCAAGTCCCTCAGACTATCAGCCGCGGACCCTGACGGCCTGCCTTGGCAACCCGCCCTCGCACGTCCCTGATCTCCGTGCCCGACGTCCAAAACAGTACATATCTCGCTTAACCAGTCTTCTTTTGGCATTGGAATTGGAATTTCCGCGCTTTGTAATTGCGTATAGCCCTAGATAGGTACGGGATACGTCCGGAGTTGAAACCACCTGGATTATGTACTGACGCCACCAGGTATTTCGGAGGAACCAACGGGGGAAAGAAAAGTCAATTAAATTGCAAGACATGTGAAGCTCCCGAATGCTTCTTTGTCTAATTTCAATCTCCCGTGTCTCAGCTTGATGCTTCCATTTAAATTGCTCTATAGATGCCGAGTTGCAATATCCAAGACGCTAGTCAATATCTTGTGGCATAGCTGTCATGTCGGAAATTCACGCTAGCTCAGCAAGGAATACTGTATGTTTCACCCGGCTTGACTCGGCTTGGCTGGGATTATGCATGAAGTAATTTGAATGCCTTCCATGTGCTTGCTTTGAGCGCATACCTAGGTCCTCCGTACGGAGTGCTCCGTACTGTACTTGGTTATGGGGTTGGAAGCTTGTAACATGTGATATCTTAGTAGGCGCTTTGTCACATGCTCCACTATTTTGTCCAGGGTCGAGATGGTATTGAAGCTATCTAGCTACATATATATCTAGCTGCATATGCAGTATAAGGTTTGGTTGCATTTGAAGGATGAAAGCTGCCAGATTCACTCCGGAGGAAAAGGGAGCTGCATCTTGTACTCCGTAAAATGTCACAATTCATCGGACTATCAACTTAACTTCCGGGAAATGCGGTCTTAACTCACATTCCAAGGTTGTATCATGCACTCTGGCGTCTCGCTCACTATAGAGAGCTCTTATCAAATTATTAACCCTTGAAAGCTCGGTTCAGCCTTCCTCTAGAACTTGGAAGAGAGAAATGCCATGGTTGGGCTCGAGCCAAGGTGATTTGGACAAGTCGGATGTTTATATGCATCGGTCTAGGGAAGTTTCTCTAGACCAGCGATCTAGGAATGATATACCCGAATATTGGAAAGACTTCATTTCAATAATCAATATATTCTCCAACAAGGGCGAGCTAAAGGCATATGGAAGATATATATATAAAAATATATATCTCGAGATATTCTCCCATTTATTCAAGACAGCTCCCATTCTAACATCATAACTTCTAGTTAAAATAATCAATAGTGAAAAGATGTAGAAGTTTATTAATTAGCTTTGTGGGAGGAATAATCAGGGTCTTCCCTGTCGTGTCGTACATATGGAACTAGACCTGAATTGGCGACGAGCATGGTCCGAGCCGTAAGGGGAGGATTAAGCGAGAAGACGGACTCGTAAATAACGATGTGAGAATGTCAAGTAAGCAATCGGTAAATTTAACTACATGAGACACGCAATTGGGTTCACTAGACAGACACTGGTGATAAAAAAAAAGGGTTCTCTTGACGGGAAGATCATTCGGCAACCCACCGCTAGCTTGAAAGCTTGAAGTGAGAGTGGAAAGGGTCTGGACAAAGTTCTTTGTTTCGAGATGCGGGCCAGACAGTTGAAACTGGTTGTGGTCAGTGGAAACGTTGGCACATCTACATCCATGTAAACGGGTTGCACAGAATAGCTCATGTACACCTTGACCCCATCTACATCTACATCTTACCATAGACGATACAATGAATTCGAGGGTCAGAAGAACATGGAAACCGATCACATTACTACTCCAAATAGACCCATGGGTATTGCAAAAAAGGCATTGATTCATTTTTGCTGACTACCATTTGCCAACACAGTTAACAAAGAAATAGCAGGGGGGCAAAGAAAGACCCGCTTAGTTCTCGTAGAGAGTGTTGAGGAAAGCCTCGGCAGGAGCAGTAGGCTTGCCACCCTCGACGGACTGCTGTCCAAGCTTCTGCTTGGAGTAGGCAGCGGCGTAGGGGTTGAGGCGGAGCATGACCTGCTTGTTGCGGAGAGGGTTCTTCTTCTGGACGTTGACGCGCTTGGTGCGGGCCTCACCCTTGGGAGCCTTAAGAACGGACTGGATTTCGGAGGAGTTGATGAGGCGGGTGAGGTCGGCGTTGGCAACAACGTTGGAAGGCAGGAGGTAATCCCGCTTGAGAGCCGAGGGGCTGGTGGTGGTACCGTAGACCTGGTCAAGAGCCTGGAAGGCGGAGGAGGTCCAGATAACGAAGCGACCGAGGTGACCACCGGGGGCGAGCTGGAGGAGGTTGAGGGAGAAGACGGGGGAGGTCTCGACACCGGGGATGTTGCGGAAGGCCTTGACGAGGTCCTTGCCGTCGGTCTCGGGGTTGTAGACAACCAGGGGTCCGCGGCGCTGGCGGAAGCGGCGGTTACGGAGCTTACCCTTACCGGCGCGCATCTTGCGGGACTTCTGGACCTTGACGAGATCGGGACCGGCACCGACAGCCTGGAGGAGGGCGATGGCAGCCTTGGTCTTGTTCAGGGACTCAACGGCGGCGGACTCAACGACGAGGGGAACCTCGGGGACGTTGGCGACACGGTGACCGCGGGCGAAGAGCAGAGCGGGGGAGGCAGAAGCAGCCAGAGCGGAGGCGGTAGCGAAACGACTGTAGACGCGAGATTATTAGTTCCTCCGCATTTCTCGAGTCGTTCAATTCCTTCAATGGGATTCCACATACCGCTGGCCAACGTTGACCTTCTGGTGCCACTTGCGCCAGACCTTGGTAGGGGCGAACATACGACCGGAACGGCACTGGTTACCGAAGGCAGCCTGACCGGCACGGTGAGTACCACCACCGGAGACACGGGGGATACGGGCAACAGCACGACCTATTCAATGAGAAGAAACCCAGTCAGTTATTGTTCCCCATAGAGAAGAATTTGATGATTGCGAAAATTTTCGCAAAATCCGGATCCGATTCTTCCAATCTCGAAAAATGTGGTAAATCACGTACCGGTACCCCAGGACTCAGCAGAGGTCTGTTCACCAGCCTTCTCGCTCACGGCGTAGGGCTGGCGCTTGTTCTTGGCCATACCAGTGTGAACGTGCCTGTAGAGCGATGGTCAGCACTTCCCCTCCATCGATTCGTGAATCCTTCAATTTTCTGGCGAGTCATACTGGACAATATCCGGGCGGATAGGAGCACCGAACACGGTGGGAAGGGGGTGGGAGGCCCCGGAGGGCTTGCCCTCAGCCGTGGCGATCGAGACAGTCGGGCGGGAGGCCATTGTTGCTGGTCGGTGTCGAAGTGAGGTTGAAGATCCAATCTCTCTGAGTCGGGGGGCTTCACAACTGGGTGTGGATTTTTTCGCTTAGTGAGAAAATGAAGTGGGGCGGCGAACCCTAAGCCCTTACTGCCATATGTGGACTAGCGCTAGTATACAATTATCTAATTGGAGCTATCACGTGGGATCCACAAGTGGGTCTTTAGCTAGTAGCGATTGAAGTCATCGACTAAGTCCTACATAAATCAAGACAGTACAACACAAAAAACATGCGGAAGATGTGAACAATTAACTTATACATTTCCGTTGATAAATACTTGGGGAGTTTATCCATTTGGGAGAAATAAAAACATCAACACCCGTTGCGTTCATGATGCTTGAGCAGTGGTCATTATTGCAGTTGACTTCCTCTTTGTTACCAACCTTCGAAGCAACGAGAATCGACAAATAAACACTATTGTTTGAGCAGCACTAATATCTACAAACTACTGACAGTACAATACCAAGCTACGCAGTGTACAAAAATGATATCGTTATATGAAACTCATGAGATGTCCTATTTTCCTAGTCTCATCTCTAAATGTACAGGAAAGGAGGGGACATATAAATGCACCGAAAACCAAGAGGACCAGCCCCGAAGAAATGAAGATCATAAAATGCGAACTGAACCAGAAAAAAAACACCCAATGATGAGAAGGAAGGTGTACAACACCCGAGGCCAGCGGATCATGTTGCGTATTTAGCTGAGGTGGACGTGGTGACCACCGAGAGCGCGTTTGCGGAAGCGCATGCTTGAGATGTGACGCGCCTTCTTAGTGGCAGAGACAACAAGCTCCTCGCTCTGACCAGCATTGCACTGGGTGCCAGTGGACATTTGCTGGGCGGCGGACCAGGTGCCAGAAGCACAACGCTGGAAGGAAGTGCCTCCAATGCAGTTCCACCGGCCCTCAGTACTGCAATTACCCGTCAGGGCACCGGAGCTCGAGCTTGAGTCAGATTCAGAGTCAGTTGTCACGGGAGCCGCGGCAGGGGTTGAGGCCGCGGGCTCGGATGCAGGCTCGGTGGCTGGATTTGATGAAACATTGTCTGGAACTGGGACTGCGGATGTCGGGGCGGCTTGGGCAGTGGTGGTCTCGGCCGGTGCAGCAGAGCCTGCGGCGGAGCCAGTGTCTGAGCTAGAGCTGCTGGAAGTCGAGGATCCATCACCAGAGCCGCCGAACTTAGCAGCACCGGTGCAAGCCTGGGAGCCATCCTTGGCGAGGTTGATGGATTGACCGGAATACTCAACGTAGTCACCAGGCTGGGGGAAGCGGATATCAACGCTTTCCTGGGTCATGCAGCCATTGATGTTTGCGACAAACATGGGAGGGAAGCTATCAGCGCGTCTCTGGAGTTCCTCGGGGGAGCGCTTGGAGGAGCCACCTGAAACAGTGATAGGGGCGCAGTTCATGTACATCTCGCGGTTGCCGATGCGGTTGAACCAGGTCCAGGCGAGGGTGTATTTGCCAGCGGAGATACCATCGGGAATGGTGAAGTTGTAAGTGTAAGGATCGATGACGTCGGGGCCGCCAGGCATGTTGCCGTCGACATTGGCAGGGCAGCCACCCTCGAAGGACTTGATGACTTTCCAAGACGAAGACTTGGAGGGTTGCAAGTCGGTGGTCAAACTGATCTGGCAGGAACCACCACCGTGGGTGGCGCTGCCGATGAAGGTGAGAGGGTAGGACTCGCCGATGGCGATGGTTGTCTCAGTGGCGGGGGGTTCAAAGGCGTTGTCGCGAAGCTTGCATGGGAAGTCACTGCCATCTGCCAACAGGGGCGAGTTGTTGAGAGTGTCCTTGCCAAAAGGGACGGGGCTGCTCATGATCATGTGGGCGTTGACCATAGAGGCGCCCATCAGGGCAGCGATGACTTTGGAGGTGAACATCTTGGATGATTGAACTTTTGGGGTTGCTTGATATCTGGAGATGATGTTGCAAATGGAATTGACTCGTGCCAGACGAATGCAATTCAGGTGTAAAAGGAGTGGACCTTGTGGTTGAATGTTAGAGACTTGAAGAGAAAAGTTGGGATGAGGGTGTCAAGAGTATATATATCGGCAAGTGTCTCATTGATAGATCTATTGCAGGCAACAGGTATAGATCCATGGATGTAACCATCTTTCAATAGATCATGAGCTCCCACAATAGATCAGACGTGTGTTGATCTGAGGCAACGATGAAACAATGGAAAAAGAGAGACAATACCTTTGTGTCAAAGTGAATCAAATGAACTGATTTAACTTGTCGGGTGTTATTTTCAATCTCTTTGTTGACGAACAATAGTGACTCTTTGTTTTATTTTGGTATCAAAGGCGAGCTTCAGAAAAGGAATGTATGATGTTCTGCCACAGGCAAAAATCAAGCAAAAAAAGGAAAGTGACACAGGTCTAGCCTGAACGTCGAAATAGAAGAATAGAAGAAGGGATTGTCTTGAAGAAGAAAAAAAGAAAAGCCATGCAACGCCGGCGTCAAGGATTATTATATATACAGATACAGGGGTACTCTCGGGCCCTTCAAGAATATCAAGAAAACGGAATCCCAGCCTCTGAATGGCCCGATTCTGTTTGCATGGCAATTAACTAGACACACACTTGGTGTGATCTCCGAAAGTCCAGAGAGATCTGCTTGGTCGATCGTCTACTCGGTATATCCACAAGACCTGGACAGTGGAGATGGGCCAAGGGAGAGAGGGGATGTTTCAGAACTTTTCCCGAGGTCAAGACGTTCAGACAGTGAAAAGCTGAAGACTAAGAGAGAAAAAAACATAAATTGACCAGTCGGAAGATGAGAACGCCACCCTCGCAGATACCCGCTGGCCTGGCGCCTGGAGAGGAGCCAACCACCGCACAGACTTTAAAGTATCAAGACTTTTCACCCCCTAGATTTGTCGCACCATAAACCGCTGGCTACTTGAACTACCTGTGGATTGGCTGTTATTATAGCCGCCCAGGTTATTTTCTCCGACTGCCAATTAAGAATATCGGTATGTTTCATTTTTTTTCACCGGAGTCCCCCGTACTCCGTACTACCGTAGTACTCAGCCCCTTATGACTGAGTGTTAGAAACAATATGACGCACTGAAACAGATCCAAGTGGACATCTCAGCCGCCGGCATTTATGTGTGTGTGGGGTAACTTTTCCCCTTTGCCGAACATTGAGAAAATGAGTTCAACCAGCCCTAGAGAGTGAACTGTGTTTATTAGACCGTGACATCTGCAAATGGAATGTATCAACTTTGATTTCCAAGACCATCTCGTCTAGAGGTGTCAACTTTCGACTAATTTTATATGTGTGGTTCAGGATCATCAGGGTTATACGCTGCTCCACAAATTGTACTTGGCGGATTCCAACTCCGCTACTCCGTACACACCACTTGAAAGCCACCAAGCCCATGTCTACTCTATAGCCCCCTAAAAGAAATACAATGTTGTATCCCTTAGCAAACGAGAACCACTGCAAGCCCTGTAATCTCGAACGGACCGCAATATTCGGCTGCCGGCCTAAAAAGTTGAAGGATAAAGATCTGCGTTTGTATCAAAAATAAGACTCAAGACTCAATAATCAATGCTCATATCTGGTGTCACTTGATTCATTGGTTTATTCTCTACCAAAACATATATGTATGTAGCATTTCCGGGGTTGATGTGGTCGTTTCGGCTCGACATGTGAACTAGATTATAAGTACGAGGTTATATATATTGACCTCGTATATTGCAAACAGCCACCATAAAAACTATCCTTGCAAGTTTTCTCCTGAACATTTGCAACTAAAAGGAGAGAACTTGCAATTGAACCTTTAGTCCATCATAATTAAATAATTGATCTACTACACTCCGCTCTTTTCCTGTGCATATCCATGGATGTAACTATTTCGATCTAAGCGCCCACAGTGGGTATATGCATCGAAATGGATGAGACCATGCAGTAAAGTTTGCACCACGCTTCGTATGACGACAATCTACATATCCTATAATAGATGCAATGGAGGTAAACACAGTAATTCAGTCTAATTTGCGAATAAACTTAGCAGGTACTCCACCAAACAGACAACCAGGTGCAATATCATTCGTGACTACAGCCCCTCCTGCGACAGTAGAACCCGCTCCGATATGTACACCATCTAAAATGGCTCCCCTCGCACTAATCTAGCAGTCCAACTCTATATTTATCGGACGAGCGAAGGATGTACCACTATCTCCTTTCCGGTCACTTGATGTAACCTGATGCGTACCCGTGCACACAAAAGGCCCAGGCCGAGGAGATTGTCAAAGAGCGAAACTCTACAGGTTTTTCCCGTAAGAATTGCATACAGAATCTTTTGGACAGAAGAGAACCCTCGAGAATAGTAAGGTCGTTGGAGTCGCTGAGCTTAAAGTTTGGAGCTTATATTCCTGAAGTTCTATGGATCTAGATGCTGAGAAGCTAGAGGTATTTGTCAATTCGTCTGCGACTATAGTAGGAATCTAGCAGACAAACTTCATTCCACTAATCGTCCTCTTGTATTCGTCGCACCAAGTTTTCTTAAGCTCCGATATCATCGACGGGCTTTTTACTAGGGATGACATAGTGAGCAGAGTCGCATATCAGGTCTAAGGCATGGCTTATAGGCGTGAGCTGCGCTGGCAAACCACATGATCAGTTTGCTCAGTTTGCAAGAAGGTACATATTGAGTAACTAAAACTAGTATGGACATGGACTTTTTGCAAGCCTTGGGTTTCCATAGTGTGTACTATCAACTCTTTTTATTCAAGGCCTTAAATGTACATTTGCCGAAGCAATGATTTTCTGTCGCTTGTTGCGGTTGATAAATTGCCTGCTCATAGGAAGGACGTGACACACATATGTCACATTAACCAAGTTGTTCGTGGGCGCCAAAGCAGAGTCGACAGCCCTGCATGTGAGCTGCGAATATGCCCGATGATACCGCCATGGCTTCTAGCTCACTGAAACAAGTCAAGTGAAACCTTCTTTGACCTCATATGAGGTCCTGGCTTCCCCTGTCGACAGTAATCTGTGGATAATGTCACATACTGGGCCAGGGACCACCATTTCCCCACTGTGGTAAATCGTACGATAGACAAAAAGTCCTAGATACTCTCTCAAGAAGAAAAGATGTATCTGTAGACCTAGTGCGATTGATGCCTACTTGAGGTTTCATCACGCACCCCTGGTCATGAAGACAAGGGCGTTTCATGTTGTCCGGTTCGCACGGGCCAGGCATACCCATGAATGAATCCAATCATAGGATCCCGGACATCAAAAAAGATCAGGAAGATCACTGTTCTCCTCATTTCTTGCCCTTCTTCTTCCCCTTCTCTGCGCCCGCAGCCTCCTCCTTCTCCTTAGTAAACCCACCCTTGACTAAAGCATCCCGACCAACATCATTAATGATCCGGAACCGGGCCGGCCCAAGCTGAATCCCCCCATACCATCGCGTAACAACAACCACAACATTCCACACATCCATCAACTGCATAACATGCAACAGTCGGCCCCCAGCAGCTGTCTCCCCATCATCGTCATAATCCTGAACAACAGTCTCCCCTCCCTCCCCATCACCCTTTCCCTGCCGAATGCGCCAGGCACTAATATTATGCGTTGCAGCCGCAACCTTCCGATCCGTAGCCGTAAGATGATCAATAAAAGCCTGCGCCTGCGCAAGACAAGTAACGCGCGCAACACGGCCCACAAATACCGATTTCTTCTCACTAACAACATCCGAGAGAATCCATTCAGGCGGGGCATCGATGCCAAATGCGTCGCGTAGGGACAGGGCTTCAAAGGCGTCTGTCGCGTCGACAGTCTGTGTCTGAGACGAGTCCCCGCCATCGTCCTGCCCGATACTCAATTCCGGGAATACATCGACAACTTCACTGATCACATCGAATAGACACACGGCGCCGGCCTGCCAGGTCCGTTGTATGATATCCTCTAATACATCGACGGCGATCTTGCCTTCCCCGCGTGCGGCGGTCGATGCTGTTCCCAGTACGGCGGGGCGGGAGTCTGGGTATGAGGCTTCGAAGCCAAGGATGAAGGATAGGTGGTGTTGTTCTGGGATTTGGAGGGTTACCACTGTGGTATGGGTGTTGGAGAGCGCGGGACCTAGGTCGAGGGTGTTGGTTGTCGCGTTTGCGGGGGTTGTGCGGGTTACGGTTATTGTGTCGGGTTCGTAGATGGCGTTTACCGCTTCGATTTCCTCGGCTAGGTCTTGGTTCTCGGGAATTAGAGACATTGTGTTGGTTGGAGAGCTTGGAGCTCGTGCGGGGTGAGGGTTTGATTATTTGTGAGAGTTGACTCCATAGTTTATTCAGGTATCAAGGCATTCAGGCATCAATTTTGGTGTGGACTGAAAATTTTGACAACGGGTTTTAGAATGGGTATAAAGCAGTTTATATATTCAAATAATAATATCGACTTTCTTTGGTATGTATTTGTGATGCAAGTTGAGGTTCAGAACAATATGTATCCTTTTTTAGTAGGTTGGATCAAGCTCCAGGACGTTTGTTTCTCTTCATTTGGGAGCTTGAGTGTACATCAATCTTCCTTGTTCGTCAACATAAAGGAGATTGCTTTTGACAAGGCTCACAGCCCTCGCACGTCATTTTACCTTCTAATGTCTAGGACCGACGACAAATAGGCCTCGTCCTCACAAGGCTCAACATCTTCAGACTAGATGTCAGTGTTGACCGAACCTCAATCATTGGGTTCAAATCCCATAGGTTGGCAGAAATATCAGCTAATCTGCTGATGGCATCGACTAGTTCTTTTTCCGATATTGACATGGACCAGTGGGACAAGTCTCCTGGAAACAAGATGAAGGATCGCAGTAGATTGTGGGTTTCTGGTCATTGCGGCGACATTGAACGGCAACGTCAGAATGGCGACGATCATATCGATACTGCGATCAAGGTCCATCAGTCTAGGGAATGGATGTATAGTTATTTGCGCCAAGTCGATTCAGACGGAACCAGAGCCTTGAATTCCTCGGAAAGCCGCTAGGAACGCCACCAATCAGGTCTTTTTCGTCGTCATTCGGTAATTAGGACTATAACTGATTGTCACACAGTGTCAGACAAATACGGATGAACCGATATAGTTTGAAACGCTCAGATCACATCCGAAGATTTTCCCTGCATTGGTGTCATTTTTGTAGATTTCTCCGAATCGAAGGTCCAAAGATTGTCGAGAGATCGACTTGCCACATGTGGAGATCGTCACGCGTGTCGTCCACCTGATTGGGTGCCTGGCTGCCTTGCCTCACTGCCTGATCCGCCTTCATCTCTTCCCCAGATCTCCATCCTGTATCTCCATCTTTCTCCCCATATCATTTGATTTTTGTATTTTCACACTATCTTTTTATGTTCTAGGCCTAGCACGGTTAAATCTGTTTGCTTCAGGGCTGTGTCCCTGGTGATCTTCCGTCTTACATACCAACGCAGATCCCCACTGCCTATCACAACGCTAGCGCCCATCAGCCACCGACCGCTGTCATACATACCCCATCGTTCGTTCCGTTAATTCTAGTTTCTCCAACTACACCACACTCTCACTTTAAGTCAATACTTCATCATGTTAGGAGAGGGCCGAGAGGAGGCCGCTAGGCTATATGTCCCCCCATTGCTTGATGATGACGAACGTCTTAACGATCCCGACGCTTCCGAAGATTTACCGCCGCCTGATGTTGAGGCAGGCAGCGCGCTTCCCGTCTGGCTGCGCGAGTCATCAAAGTCATTTCGCTGGGGATGGGTACCGCTACCTCTCCGAAAGGTCGGTCGCGCGACCGCCAATTGGGTTAAGGGTCCCGATCCGCCGCATATGCTTTTGTTGAAGCCGCTGTTTCCGCGAGTTCAAGAGCTTCCAGTCCAATATTTTGACCATCTATTTCCCAAGCGCAAATTTAAGACAGTACTCTTATTGCTGCTCTATATATCTTGGTTCTTGCCTTGGTTCTTGGTTTTATTACACTCACGCTCTTCCGGTTACATCGAAGGATATGGCCAGCCTCAGACGCTGTCCTGCTCAACGAACTTCTGGTACGTACTGAATCGGAACCATGTCTAGGTACAAATTTCGCTAATTTACAATTCGCTCTAGGGAATTTGAAAATGGATGTGGTATTAACGGAAATGACTGCCGTCCATTTTCTTCTTCAACTATCCCCTTTCGGTGTCCTGCGAATTGCCGTGATACCAAATTATTAGAGCCCCACGTTGTGGGAAATCATACATACAACTACCAAGGCCTAGTCATTGGTGGACCTAAGCCAGATTCCTCTGACCCGGCACTTTACCGTGCGGATAGCTTTATCTGCCAGGCAGCAATCCATGTCGGTGCAATCTCGAACGATGGCGGCTGCGGTGTTGTTAAACTTGAGGGCGCAGCTCACTCTTTCCCATCAGTCAAGCAATATGGAATTCTCTCTGCCGGCTTCCCATCGACTTTCCCGAAGGCTTTCAGCTTCGTCCAGCTATCCTCGCCGCAAGCCAGCTGCCCACCAGATCCACGCTGGACACTCCTTGGAATCACCGCTGCTGCCGTTGGTCTCCTGTGGCTCTTTTGTACATCACCACCTGTACTCTTTTTCAGTACATTCTTCATGGTGTTCTGTCATACAGGACTTGTTGGAGACCCGCCCTCGTATCCTCTCTTGACCGACCTCGTCTCCAGTCTTTTATCACGACTACTGCCTGCATCGTTTGTCGTTTACGTTCTCTACAAGTTCTGTGCAGCGCCGCTTTTGGCGCCACTGTCCTCGCCTATCTACCAGCTTTCAAAGTTGTTCCTTTTCCTACCTCCGCTTTTTATTGGAGCCTTGAACAACTATACCTTTGCGCGCTTGATTCCCTTGCAGCGTTTGACACCGATGGACATTCAGAAACAACCCGGGGCAAAGGTGGCATTGGCCTTTGTCATCCCCATTGTGATTTCGGTTATCTTAAGCCAGGCGTGGCAAATTCGCCAGGCAGGTTTGCTCCCACGGTATTTGAAAATATACTGTACCATGGGGCTCATCATCTTGGTATTGCTTCCCCTCCCTGGTCTTCGTCTTCGAATTCATCATTATATCCTCGCCATCCTCCTCATGCCGGGCACCGCCTTCCCCACTCGGCCGTCGCTTATCTACCAGGGTCTACTTCTGGGTCTATTCATTAATGGAGTTGCGCGGTGGGGCTTCGCCTCGATCATCGAGACACCGGCAGCTCTAGGAGAGCAAGCACCGCTCGGGGATGGAATCCATGGCTGGTGGGGTGCTACCTATCCAAATATCACGACCGCATCCGTGAATATCTCGCTCCCAGAGCCGGGATCGAAACACACTTATCGCGGAAATGGCAATATCACCTTCTCTCTGTGGGAACACGAGCGTATGGCAGATCTAGCGGTAGACGGTGTATCGGTTCTTCTCAACGACGTAGAGCGCTGGCGCGGTTACCTCGATGAAGATAAGAACGGAGAATTCACCTGGCATCGCCATGGTCATGATGGCCTGGAATTACAGACAAACCCCCGTCTGGTCAATCGTGATTTGGACACTAACATTGATACCAAATCGGTTTCTGATAGTGACTCTGATGATAAACCCGAAGATCTATTTTTCCGATTCGCATTTTTGAGAGGCTCCGAGGCTGGCGTCTACAGCCCGACAGGAGTCTGGCTGAGCGATGGCATGTGGTGGCCCCCGGCGCCTCCGAAGAAATAGACGTGCTTTCTTTCTGCATTGATCATTGAGGTTGGTTGCGCGTTTATACCACACCACATGGAAAGATAGATTATACACTTATGGTTCATGTGTGCTGGACGCGCTGTGCCCATTTGAGTAATAGAACAGGCACGGCGTTGGACCATCATGATTGATTATATTAAATGAAGATAGTGGACATATTTTACTTGAAGATAGGTGCCATGAAAGGCTTGAATAGAGTTTATAAGTCGCTGTGCCAGCAATGTTGTATGTTCTTTACTGATCTGGATCGATCCACGAATCAGATACGGCCAATATGAAGATCGAGCCTAAAACGCGAGCACTTTCGCCACGCGATCGAGATCGAGATCGAACATGAATCAGCCAGTAAGCCAAGATCCCAGCTCTGTGAATCGTCAATCGTTTGTTAACATCGAGGCAGCTTAATGGCACTAAACCGATTCTGTGATATAGTGATGTCATACCCTGTGTCTGCCCAGGTGTACTTTACACCAGAGTTGTGGCAATTTGAAAGACTTATCGCCTATGTTTCGAAATTTCTAACATACTATGAGAATGCATTCAAGGCAATATGGCAAACCTCAATTTTCCAGATGACGGACCAGATTTCCTGACTGACGATACACTCCATGAAGCCTATGAGCTCGAGATTCAATCAGAGGAGGGTAAGAAAGTTCGATTTGGAGAACTCGTAGCAGGGAAAGGGGATTCGATAACAACGATTGTCATTTTTAGTGAGTCTTACTCTTACAGCCAAAGTCAAGGATCATCTGGCTAACTCAATCCTAGTACGTCACTTCTTCTGCGTCTACGACCAAGACTACGTCCGAACCGTAGCCGCACAAATGACCAAATCATTACTCGATACAGTACCTGCCAGTGCCAGACCAGCTCAGGTCATACTTCTCGGCTGTGGCGATCATAGCCTTATAGGGTCCTATATGGAAGAGACATCGGACGAATTCCCAATCTACACTGATCCATCAGGGAGGATATATCAGAAACTACAGATGAAAAGGGCAACGAGTGGATTCACAGAGCCGCCACCATATACGGACTATACTTTCCCCACTGCTCTTGTGGAAGGGTTGAAGCAGATATGGAAACGTGGATGGGCGGGTCTTCGTGGGGGGAGTGTGGTTCAACAAGGTGGTGAGTGGATATTTCAACGGGGAAAACTACGATATGCACATCGCATGGAAGGAGCACATGATCATCTTACTGCAGAGCGATTGATGGAGATTTTGAATGTGACACACGATAAAAGTGATGATTTATCATCAACCAGAGAGGAAACATATTTTGAGAGCCGAGCGCAAGGCACCGAATATATATATATCAGACCTTAGTATTTTTAAAGTTCTATTTAGCATTCGATATATCTGTACGGAGTACGGAGTATACTATCAACATGATGCATAGTATCTCCAGGGCTGTGCTTGTTTCAGATTTCGTATTTGAGCAAAAATTTTGCCACGTGATCGTAATGACGCTAGGCAACCGAGAGCCAGAATTTGAGGCTCCAAACGTTCATTTGTACTTCATTTTTTTTAGCCATTTTAATATAATATACTCGATATCCTGAAACCATGGAGCCCGAAGAATCCGATGAGGGACGTGAAGTGCGAAGCGCGCTGGTCCGACGTGCAGTAGGTGCTCCACCGCATAAATTGCAAGCCTAAAAAAAAGAAAAAGAATTCTGAATTGACCAATGAAATATTAATTATGCATATAGTGTGATCAATGTCGTCTAAGAAAGGTATGTAGCTTCATCTGCAGCCACTGGCATGTCACTCAATCTCATGGTGTCACAGATCCGATGCGATAAGCGCACTCCGTGCTCCAACTGTCGTAGTTCTAGTATTGCATGCACATCTACTGGCGAAGGCCAGAAGCCATCAGAGCCCCGGCGCCGGGTTTTAATTTCAAATCAATAGTATGACCATTTCCTTCTATTATAGGACACCATTTAACTCGACCACAGTGAGAAAAAGATCGATTTGATCGAGGAACGCTTGGCAAGCATCGAAAGCAATCTTCAACAGGTAGCCAAAAATACATCCCATCTACAAGGATTCACAGCACCGACCCCTCGTGGATCTCATTTCGCACCTTCGCCTCAGAGGTCAAATCCTGCGCCGTCATTCACTACGCAGACCCCTCCAAAACCGAAAGGCCCGTTGTATCGAGCGAATCCTACTCTCGAGCAGCACGATTCCAGCTCTGGCTTTGAGGGCAGCTCATCGCTGGCTGCTCATGGGGCCTACGCGAGCGCGTTCCTTGAATCTGCTGTGTCCACAAGCTCACAGCAGGTTTTATCCAGTCCAAAGATCAACGCAGCTCTCTCATCGCTGAAGCAGCTTGTCGGGATCCAGAACCAGCGACGAGGAACCGACTCCCTGGAGAGTCAACCTACTAAGAATGCGAGGTTAGGTGTGAGACGCGACATTCGTGATTTGGAAATGCCGCCTCTGCCATTAGTACTAGACCTGCTGAGAAAGGTTCAAGGTACCGTTCATTCCAAAGAGATGTCTCCGGCTTCCTATTCTTACTCATGCAGAATCACCCCCGTCCTGCTTCGGTGGCTATGTCCCATTCCTGAGCGTGAAATATTTCATCGAAAAATGCCGTGAAGTTTACTTCTGCATAGATGATTACTCCGAGGCGTCATTTGTTGTGACGAACTTCTGCCTCTACGGCGTTTTCTACGAATACAGTGGCGTGGAAAAGGATGCATCTGTGCGGGAACAGTACGAGTACTACATTGAGATGTCTCGTGACAACCTAGAGACAGCGCTTGCAAATTTGAACATCCTGATGCCTGCAAGCCATGAATCCATCATGGCGTTAACTGTCGGAGTTAGTCCCCCATTTCCAGTCTTCCTTCTGGATATACCACGGCGTGGCTCCTTACTTACAAACAAAGGCTATGCATGCACTCGAGATTTCCAAACCATCGGTTGGCTGGACGCTGGCATCAACAGCCATGAATATGTGCCAAACACTCGGGTATCATCGCTTTATATCAATGGAGCACGACTCGGAACTAGTCCAACGCCGAAAACAGGTTCTATTCTGGTCAGTTTACACACTTCTGAATATGATGTCCCTGCGCCTAGGACGTGCCTCGCCCATTCAAATCTATGATATCAGTCTACCAAAACCCAACCCAGAAAACGCAGATATTCCTTATCCATGGGCAGCCGTCTGCATGTGGTGGACTAAATCCGCAATTATTCAAGGTGAGGTTTACAAATATTTGTATAGCCCAGCGGCCCTGCAAAAGCCAGAAAGTGAACGAGTCACAAATGCACATAGGTTAGCTGCTGAGATGAAGTCGACGGTTATGGAGCCGTTCGAGGTATGCTTTGTCATTTTTGTTCGGCTGAGTCCATTTGCTAACGTGATACTTGTAGGAATACATGTCGTCCGAACTCAATATATCCGAGGTCGATCGCATGTACCTCGCAACTGACAAGGTCAGCCGGCTTTCCGTCATGACCTTGATCTATCGAGCAATTCCAGCATCAACAGACTCAGGCACCATTGCCCCCTTCATACCCGAATGCATTGAGACAGCCCGGGAAGCCTTGGAAGTCCACCGACAGTGCCTTGCAACAATTAAAGAGACAGACGCTTTCATGAAAATATCCTACATGCACTGGTAAGTATCTCGAATGAGCACAAGGACAGCTCCTGCTTGGTGCAACGACCATGCAAAATCAGATCAACAAGTTCTGACAAAATAAATATAGGGGCGTCCTCTTATCCCCCTTCGTCCCCTTCATCGTAATATTCTGCAACATAATAACAACTTCCAACGGCGACGACCTGTCCCTACTCGAAGAGTTCATCGCCTCCCTCCAACCGCTATGCGCCTTCTCCCAATCCATCGACCGACTGCACACCCTGTGCTCAGTGCTAGGCACCGTCGCCCGCCTGTACTTTGAAGCCAACACCCGGACCCAAACAGCCGAAGACCAAGACCAAAACCTCATTGAGGTCGGTCAGGAATTCGATGTTTATCTCAGTGCGCTTGGACTGGCTCCTACAAACCCTATGAATCCTGCGAACAGTGGTAATTTCCAGATGGGCAACTCACAGGGATATTTCCAGGCAGATAATCCTGCTATGCATCTTAGCCCGGCGGAATTGTCACAGCACGTGGGTGGGTTCCCCGCGCAAAGCGATCCATCTCAAGTGCAGGGACAGGGCTTTGGGACTGCAGCGCAATTGGGGAATTGGTTCTGGGGGAACCAGTACATGATGGGACTTTTGGAGGAGGATTTGTCGCAGTTTAATCCGGGATTGTAATGGGACTAGCGGGTGATCATAGGCTATAACCTCCCCACTATTCGACTTATTTATTCCAATATACCGAGCTGGTATGATTGTTAATATGAATCTCAACTTCTACTCGCTGAAGTGTAAGCTACTATGTACATATCGCTCTTTCACTCTAGCAAAACCTTACATCCCTCCGCACTCATCACCACAATTGTTAAAGCCTGCCTCTCCTCGCCAGGTGGAACACTAGGTATCTCAGGTGGTAATCTGAACTCTGAGAATGTTTGGATGATTCGTATAATTGCACATGAAGCTTCTGTCAAAGTGTGGATTCCTCTGTTTCAGTAAAGTGCTATCAGGACTACCTATTTTTGATAGTCCGTGGTGGATAGCACCGGGCCGGCCCTCTAGCCCACAAGCTTAGGGACCCACTTGTAGTATTCCACTCATTTGTATCTTACATAGATATCTTGGGAATCTAATGTAGCCTTGCTCTTGGCAAGCAGACTTACGTACCACTAGGAACAGCTGTATTGCCGCCAAAGCTGGGTGCTGAAACCGAGCAACCATTAGATTTGCGTCAGTGATCTGCTGTCATATATTGCTTTTATTTTATTGGTTTCATGTTGCCGTTTGCTCCAATGATTCAGCGGCATCTTCGGCTTATCTAAAATCAGACTGGCGTCGCTAATGCATATGTTCAAGGGGAGACACAGGATATGATGACCTTATATTGAGTACCTTATCGCCATGATTATTTTACGTTCCCTTGATTAGAGCTTTTACTTCCAATATTATGGACCCGTTCTCCATTATAGTTGGGACTGTCGGCCTGGCAGACGTCTCCGTCCGTGTCATCCGTTATCTCAGCTCTCTTAAAAGTGCAACCTCCAAAATCCGAGATGAAATCACCATCTTGGGGCAAGAAATCGAAGCGCTAGTTGCTGTAAATGGGTCAGTTGAGGATTTCTGGCATTCGAGACATGATCTGGATGGCTTGGACACGCCGGCCAACGATAGATTTCATGCTGGTAATGTCTGGAAATGCTTGGGATCGCTCTTGCAGCAAAGCAAGAGAATCATTGAGCAGCTCGAAGTATTGCTCAAAGAGGTTATCGGCAAGAAAAACACCCTCGCAGTGGGAAAGCTCGACGGTCTTAGAAAGACGTTCCGGAGAAAAGATCGAGACGGCGAATATATGCAAATACGTCAGCGTCTCGCCAATAACCAAGCCGGTATCCAGATGGTATTGAGTGCACTTAACCTGTGTGTCCAAGAAATTGTTCGTGGTATATGTATACGGAAAAAAGCGCTGACCCAATGCACAGCTCCTACACGCTCAAATCGCAATCAGCAACGGATTGTATTGTGGACACCCTGCCAGAGAACCGAAGGTGAGTTATGTCAAGAAACCATGAATGTAGTATAAAAGCTCACTTCTGTAAGTTCCACGATTCTTTCGTTTCTGCGGACGCGGTAGCATCCCTCATCAGGTTTAACAGGCATTTCGAAATGCCTCAAACCGTCAGTAGTTATTATACCGGTCGACAGAAGCAATTGGATGAGCTTAAATCCACGCTCGACCTCGTCAATTCTGGAGAACCCCAAAGCCACCAAAAGCGCTTTGTCATCTATGGGCTTGGGGGGTCTGGGAAAACTCAATTCTGTTGCAAATTTGCCCAAGACAATAGGGAACAGTGAGTTTAGCTCTTGAAAGTGTATAGAATAACTCTAGATCTAACGATGTTATCTAGTTTCTGGGGTGTCTTTTGGATCGACGGCAGTTCTTACGAGAACGCGAAACACTCCTTCGCAGGAATTGCTAAAGTCGGTGGCATCGAGCCAAACGAAAAAGCGGCAAAAAACTGGCTTTCTAGCTTACAACAACCTTGGCTACTTCTAATCGACAATGCCGATGATCCCGAAGTCGATGTGATACGCTACTTTCCGGGAGGCGAAAGAGGTGTGGTTCTCATCACCACTCGAAACCCTGCAAACAAGGGATATGGAACGGATGGTTCCCGCTTCTTCCATTTTGATAAGCTAGAAACCGAAGAAGCCAGTGACCTCCTTTTGTCGGCTGCCGCTTTCCCGCGTCCTTGGGGAGCACAGACAAGATCATACGCCAATCGAGCAGCCCAAATCTTAGGATGTTTGCCTCTCGCGCTCATCCATGCCGGAAAAGCCATCTTGGAAAATCTGTGTTCTCTAAGTGACTATCCCGAATACTACGAACGAACGTGGAATAAAATCCGCCGTTCCCGAATTCGAAGCCCCTTCCATGGCCATGAGGATAAGTATGCGTTGAATATGAGTGTGTATTCTTCGTATGAGATGATATATCTTGGTCTTGAAAGCAAAGCCAACGACCAGGCCCGAGACGCGCTTGAACTGTTGAAGACCTTTTCATTTTTCTACTGGGAGAACATCGAGTTTGATCTCCTGGTAAATGCAGCATCGAACCCTCGCCGAGAACGAGAAGACGCAAGAGCCAAACAACGCATGGCAAAGACAGTAGTGGTCCATCCAAGACCCAAGACGTGGGCAAAAACATTTTATGACTGGGCCGCTTCAGTAATAGAACCGCTTACGAGACCAAGTATCATTCTGCCCGCTGTCCTGCGTGATGAGGATGACGACCCATTTGACGAAGATCGACTACGTAGCGCGCTGTCTCTTCTGGTCCGCCTTGGCATGCTAACACTTCATGATGACAATAATAGTTATTGGATGCATCCATTGGTCCATACCTGGGTGCGACAGAGACCCGAGACCAGCACGGCAGAGCAAGCCGTTTGGTGTCAAGCAGCAGTCACCATATTGGCACAATCAATCTTCTTCCAAGCTCCACGCGCATATACGGCGCAGGATGAGAAGTCAAAGAGACAGATTTATCCGCATGTGGAAAATGTGCGAAAGTTGCAGGCAGATATCAAGAGGCGTTTTGAAGAAAACCAGAGGGCTCCTCATTGGCCTTGGCCTTTGAGCCTCTTAACGCCTCAGTCAGGCTTTGGGAGATTACAGGCAACTGAATATGCCAAATTCAGTTTGGTTTACCTTCATTGCGGGTACTGGACCAAGGCCGAAGAGCTTCAGCTTCAAGTAAAGGACTATTTATTTGCAAAGCTACGCCCGGAGTCGGAATACAGCATTGCTATTGCTTTCTTACTATCCAAGAACTATGTTTGGCAGAAACGGAATGATGAAGCGAGAGTACTACAATATCAAGTTTTGGAGTCTGCCAAAAAGCTATATGGCCCAAACCACCCTACAACTTTACAGATCATGGATACCCTTGGTGCCACATGTCTCTTAGGTAGTAGGTACCGAGAGGCCTATCGGCTGCATGAAGAAGTTATTGAAAGTCTATCGAAGCTGGAGGGCTTCGGCCCAGATCACGAAGATACATGGACCGCGCTGGATAATCTTTCCAAGGTCAAGCTTCGCTATTTCGAACACGAAGCGGCGGTTGACCTGCAACGACAAGCATATGAGGGGCTGCAAAAGGCCTTGGGTCCTACTCACGAGAAAAGCTTAGAGGCCAAAGACAATCTTGCGGCCATCTACGGGTTTATGGGTGAGGAGTATCTTCCACATGCCCTTCAAATGAGTGAGGAGGTTACGCAAATCCGAATAAAAACACTAGGACGCGAGCACCCTTTTACACTCAAATCCAAGTTGACTCTCGCAAAGATCAAGACCGCCATGAACCAGTTTGAGGAGGCCGAAGAAATCTTTCTGGAAGGGTTGCCCGTTGCTGAAAGAAACCTGGGTGAAAATCACCTGGGAACTATCACAGCTCGCACCTGGCTTGGACATCTGTACTGGCGCCAAGAGCGGTATTTAGAGGCGCAGGCCATCTGGGAAGATATAATTACAAAGCAAAAGTTTGAGCAAACAAAGCGTGCAGATGGCGGACATGGGGATCGTGGTAAGTAGCTATCCTTCCAAGGTTGTTATATTTCAATGATTGGTTACTATTTATTATTCTGTAAAACGATCCTTACTAATAACAGTCTTTCACATCTAGTTCAAGCAATGTGGTTCTTAGTCCACTGCTATGAGGACCAAGGGAAAATCAAAGATGCCTTGAATATGTGTGAGGATGTAATCCAAATTGTTAGCAACTTTGGCGGAGAAGGACTAGGGCAGCAGCACAAACTCTGGCAATCTCTGAAGGAAAAGAAGCAGGAGCTGCTGAACCTTAAGGAGCAGGGTCAAAATAACGGTCTTGTGGATAGAGGTGTCTCATCCAGCCACTCGTCGGCAGGTTCTTCAAAAACACGACCCAAGAAAGTGGTTAAAGACTTTACTTTCTAATACTTTAGGAAAGGCTTTGGGCTTTGGTGATATGTACTTTTTGAAGGTCTAATCTAATTTGAACTATCAAATGTATATAGCGAATATTGATGACAATGGGTCTTCACTGGTACCCACTCTCTTCTCCATCTCTAAGGATTATAATTGCTGTGGCAATAGATCCCGCACCCCCTTCTCAAGCAGCATATTCGCGACGGAGACACCGAGTTTCTCTGCTTCCTCATCACACTGGACAGTACCCACATCTTCAGCAGAAATCTCCGATAAACCTTCTATGTGGATGACCGTAGCTCGCAGGCGCAGGGTGCCGCTATCAGAGCCTTGTTCCAGGGGCTCAAAAGAAGACGAAACGCCAATTGAGGACGAACATCCTCCTTGAAGACTTCGAAGCATCGACCTCTCGGCCATGCCGCGCCATCTCGATGGCTTATGGTCGACATGTTGGACAAGCTGTAGGATATCTTGACGGTCTGTATTTGTGCTAACCTCAATACCAAGTGCGCCTTGTCCAACTGCATAAGGGAATATAGTAGGTTCAAGTCGTTGTGTGATTCGATGATCGAGTCCTAGGCGTAATAGTCCAGCGGATGCCAAGAGAATGCACGAAAATGGCGAAGAAGGTGCGTCAAGCTTAGCAAGGCGGGTATCTCTGTACATAGTACATTAGATCAAAATTGAATGTATAGGTAATAGGAAAAAGGGAATAAATAAATGCTTACATGTTGCCGCGACATTCTACTATCTCCAGATGAGGCCAATTTCGCCGAACTAGAGCTCTTCGCCTCGAAGAGCTCGATCCAACTACAGAGCCGGGTGGCAATTGATCGATAGATTTGAAAACAGAGCCGGACTTCATTACGACGGCATCGGAACAGTCCTCACGCTCAGGAATAGCCCCAAGGAGACAGTTCGGCGGCAGTGTTGTTGGCATATCCTTCAAACAGTGGACAAGAAATTGGACCTTGCCAGCCACCAATTCCTTTTCAAGGCCATTTGTCCATAGGCTTTTGCCAACGTCTGATCCGCCCGTCTGTTTAGAGAGGACTGCAAAGGGTGATTGCTTATCTGCATCGCCCGCGACACTGGAGGTGACGATTTCAAAGGTCGGGGAGGGGTCGAGTGTTTGGCTCAGTTCGGATATGATCGACCGAGCTTGAGTGAGTGCGAGCTCCGACTTACGGCAGCCAATGAGGACTTTAGAAGAATTATGAGACGACATTTCTTCTATCTCAGGCTTAAGACTGTTTTGGGATAAAGCTGATGCAAAATAGATGTTGCTCCAAGTCAATTAGGACAATCTGTTTTCTAATATGTTACACGTGACTTTATATGTCCCTGTAATTAATATTAATAAAATAAACCTACTCCGTACGGAGTAAAAATATAAGCAATCGGAGTCAACTACTCCGAGACCACGTGTCGATAGCCTCATTCATATTGACCAATGGGAATGTCAGGACTTGAAATCGGGTTCCCGAGGTCCCGAGGTCAACGGGTCTTCGGCCAAACGAGTCATGTACTTGATCACATTATTTCTATGATCGAGATTACAAACACCGTCTGGACGGCCATTAACACAAGCCATGAATGAATAAGACATCCCATCGAAGTATCTAGAAATAACGTTTCTAGTTTGAGTTCTATATAATTCGATCCAGTTCACCGTCTCTGTTCTATGTAAATAATGGTCCTCAAGAAACAGGGCAGAATGCAAAGGACAAGAATACTACGGGACAGATAAAAAGAAAAGACCTCGGAAAGCTCAAGGGGTGGGAAGAACGCCAGCATTTTCGTAGGATCGCATTGTGTTCAACCATGCCTGGTAAGTGTCATCACTACGGTTCCAGCCAAACTCGCGAGCCTTGGTACCAGTGCTGATGAATGGCGTCTTCTGCTGGGTTGGCGTGAGCAACCAGTTCAACAACTCAAATGCGTCTAGCTGAAACGACTCAATTTCACCACCGTACTTGGCCACGATTTTCTCCCATGTCGACTTCTTGTCCTTGGCCCAGTCGGCCATGTCCATAGGCTTCGTCTCCTCTGTAGGAGGCTCAAACTTGTCCATCGGGACCTTAAAGTACTTGGCCAGCAAATGCCACAGGAACTTCCACACAATCACATCGCCATTGATGTGGTTGAAGGCCTCATCCTTGCACTGGTCCTGTGTCGCTGCCCAGACAGTGAGATCAGCAATGCTGGGGGCGTAAGACTGGTTCTCGACTCGGTGATAGCCGGATAGGTCTCCTGGCCACTGGGGGGCTTGGCCGAGTTCACGGCAGATGAGGAAGTATTGGGCTATCGGAAGTGTTTCGTTGATGCCGAGGTCTGTAAATCATGTGTTAATGTCTTGTTAGGAAGGACCCTGTGTTTTGACCTACACTGGCAGCTGTAGCCGATGATAGCCATGGGACGAATGATGTTGTAGTTCCAAGTACTACGACGCTTCTGGATGGCGAACATGTCATCTTCCTGCTCGTAGTAGAAGAGGTTCTCGGGGCCTTCGTAGCGGGGCATGTTCTCCACGAAGGGGGTTGTGATGTCTCTGAATTGGAAACCATAATGCTACCAACCGTCAGATTTAGTTCAATTTGTTAAGGATTCATCGTACCTTTCCTCCAGTTTGCAACACCACACGCTGCAGTCTAGGGCAGGCTAGGTCCACCGATTCTAGGAAATTACGGAACAGAGGGCCATTCTTCACGTAGAGCTTCGAGAAGTCATTGTCATGAACGTAGGAAGTAAAGAAGGCATGAGTAACATCTTTGCAGAGCTCCTTGATCTTCTCGACGATTCCCTCTGCCGGTTCTAGGAAGTCGAGGGCAACGAACCGAATCCTCGGGTCCGTGTATACCGACTGAACCGGCCTCCTCGAAGTGATGATGATCTCCGACCTTTGAATAGTGGTGATTAGATTTTTTTCTTCAAAAGTACGGACGTGAAGAGAATATAATCACCTACCATTCTCTGCTTGGCTGTTTGATCAGATGGTCAACAATGGCTCCACCACTAATGCCATTGGCGCCAGCCACAAAGGCAACCTTTCGAGTAGGAAGGTCGCCAAATGGGTTGCTCATGGTAATAAAGGAACCTATTGAATTGAATAGATAAGATGAATGAGATGTGAAGAATATGAATACAGTGGACGTGTAGTGTCCTTTTATAACCCCCGTTCCTGTGCAGATCTTGCCGTTCGTGGAGACCCTACAGTGCCTGGCAAACTGCTCTAAACATCACGCAACATTAGAAGCTGCCTCTAAATGGTCGGCGGCAGAGGTATTGACTATACAGTTGTCTCATATAGGCCTTGCCAAGAGCCGAGAAAATCTGCCCGAGGTCCACCCGGTCCGGCCCTCTGAGCCAGTCATTCCGTTTAGAAAATGGATCCAAGTGGATTGAGGTGCGATGCGCATTTCTCTCTTCTTCTCGATGGCTCCCACTTTTTATGTCTTGATTTTTCTCCAACTTTCACAACACCCCGTATGACAAAAGTCCTAGTACTGAGGATCCGTGCCACAGAGACCTGATATTGATTTCCTCTTCTAGTCAATTCCTTGACTATGAACAACAGTGGTGTCGATATAGCCTTGATTTATTTTAGAGTTAAGCCCTATCCATACTATTGTGGTCTAACTATCGTTCAGGTACATCGAATTACTCTCTTCAACATATTTACTACATTTTTTCAAAGTTCATAATATTTTGTTCTAACAGCTTTCTCTTAGATTATATAGTCTATAAGATACAAAGAGGATCCTCCGGGCTTACAAGCGAATGGACACAACCTTCGCAAGCTCCATCTGTCTAAGAACTGGTATAAATTGCGCACCGCTGGTCGCCACGTACCGAATCGCGACCCAGACCCATTATTGGGTCGAAGGGTGGTTGGAGTTTACTGGGTCGTGGGGAAGAGGAGGTTATACCCGGGTCAGAATTTGAAGTGATAATATGAGCCTATATAACGGATACATCCTCAAGTCGGTTTCAGGAACTCAGTTCCGACATTTTCCAGGTTCAATCCATCGTGAAAAGTGGTCTGTCCAGGAAATGAAAGATCGGCAGAGCTTGCTCGGACCAGCTTGGTTTTCTTGAAGATTTTCCAGAAGGCGAAGAGGCAGATATAGATAGGCAAGCCAACATACGCTGCGATGAAGTCTGAAGTCGACCAGTTTCCAGACGTGAAGACGGCGAACCCATTCCCCAGGGCTACAAAGCTGAAGTACACGAGACTGAAGTATGCGGCGTAGGGCTGGAAGGGGGTCCGGAATGGGAGGGCTTTGACACCAATGCCCTGGGCATTAATGGCTGCGCGGAAGCGGATGTATGACAGGGCAATCGTCATCCATGTCAGGAAACTGCTGAAGGCCGTGATGTTCATGAACCACAGGAAGGCTTTGTTGGCGCCGCTGGAGACCGTCATGTAAGTAAGGAGCGTGATAGACGAGGTTATGCCGACGGCGAAATACGGGATTCCTCTATTGAACCAAAAAGAGACAACTGGTCAGTCACGATGAATTTTCCCGAGAGAATAAAGCCAGGAGATGCTATGGGACCCTACCTTGATGAGCAGCGGAGGAGGAATCGCGGTGCCTGGCCGCATTGCGCTAGTGAGTATAGATATCAAGAGGCATTGAAGAGCATGTTATTGGCAACCGAGATGGTTGAGATCAGGATAACAGCATTCAGGATGGATGGCAGCACTGGGATTCCTGCGTTGACGATGCCGATGACCCATGGGGAAGCGGCCGCGCCAGGACCGCCGCTTAACAGCCGGGGATCATCGTACGGCACTATCAGGCCCACTGCCAGTGACCCTAGCACATAAAACACCACGATCCTGACGAAGATGATGCGAATTGCCTTTGGGATGTTCTTCCGCGGGTCTTTGGCCTCGCCAGCAGCGGCGATGATGCCCTCGGAGCCGCCGAACGCAAACCCAGCCGCAATCACCGTTGCAAACCACCCTGCAAAGCGCCCAGCAGCCCCAGTTCCAATATATTCATTCATCGCTCCTGGAACCCTCCAATAGTGGAACCCCAGGCGTTCCTGGCCTGGCGCACCGCCCAGGTCAATGACCAGGGACAGGATGAGCAGCCCTATCATCGTCGTTAGCTTGACTATGCTGAAGATAAACTCGGCCTCGCCGAATATTGACACGGCTATAATGTTGAGCAAGATCGCGACTATGATGACAATTGTGATCCAGACTGCGGAGTTCACCTCTGTCGTCCAGTATTGGATCACAATCGCCGCAGCGGATGCCTCGGTGCAGACGACCATCGAGTTGGCGTACCAAACCTGCCGGGCTGTTAGCCATCCACATACTTGAAACCAAGCCTCTGATTAACTCTAGTAGTACTCACGTTCCAACCAACCGCAAATCCGAGAGCATCGTCCACGAACCGAGAGCAATAGGTCGGAATGGCTCCTGTAACGGGCATCCAAGTACCCATCTCTCCGAGACATTGCATCTAGAAAGGACGACCAATCGTTAGTGAATTCCTCACTGCATTCCTCTTTGACTCACCGTCGCATAGACCGCCATTGACGTAATGGTATAGGACAGAAACACAGACAACGGGCCTCCGCGGCTGAGTGCGTCGCCGATTGCTAGAAACAGACCTGTTCCAATTGAGCTACCAAGCGCCATGAATATAAAGTGTCGGGCTTTGAGCCTTTTCGAGAGTCAGAGAGCCAGAAACGAACGATTGCATGCAGTAGGGGTTAAATACCCTCTTTTAACCGATTGGTCTGCTTCATGGACATCACGGGACGCCCCGGCCTCTGTATCCTCCGTCCCTGATGGGGAACCGACCACGGCCTGGTCAATGGACTCGCCGTCCTTGTGGCTTGTCATGGTAGTGTTCCAACCAGTGGAGTCGGGCTACCGATGAAGTGACAAGAATTTTGTGCGAGTAAAGGTGCGATAAATAGTAACAGTCTGTGTGTGGGATTATTGACTCAAAAAAGCCAGTTTACCGAGTATGAAATGTAGGTCGTAGGCGGGTAGATAAGTTAGAAATAAGGGGATAGCTCCAGGACTATTGAAGCTTCCCCACATAATCTAAAAATGTGGATCTCGACTCCGGGTCCGGATGGCTGTCAGTATAAACTGCGGGGTTAGAGTGCTAGTATTTTTTCGAATACTATGCCATCACACCTGGGTATAGATAGAGATCCTTTGTATCTACAAGCATATGTTCAATACCTACCTGTGAAAATATATCAACCATGCTCTTTGCGGGGACGTCATCACCCAATCGGAAGCCGGTCCGTTTCATTATCAGCCAATCACGGCAATGCCCGCCTAGATAAGCTTCGTTAGTTCCAAGATTTTGACACACCCCAACAGTACCGGATACCGTATTCGTATATAAATAACAGTCCAAACGAAGTTTACCCCGACAACCCATCTTTCAGCGCAGTACCTACATACCTAACATGACCCGTCGACCAAACTTCCTCGTTATTGTCGCCGATGATCTTGGCTTCTCCGATACTGGAGCATTTGGCGGAGAGATCAAGACTCCAAACATTGATAACCTAGCCAATGGCGGCCTCCGCTTTACCGATTTCCACGCAGCATCAGCATGTTCGCCGACGAGAGCAATGCTACTAAGCGGAACCGACAACCGTAGGTGTTTTGAATATTGACCCATTCGGTCGCGTCAGCGGGCTGACTGTCCACTGTCCTCGTACAGATATTGCAGGCATAGGAACAATGGCGGAATCGTGGACCGGGAACCAAAAGGGCAAACCGGGTTATGAGGGCTATCTAAACGATCGCGTAGCACCGTTTCCCGAGTTACTTCAAGCTGCTGGCTATCACACGCTTATGTCAGGCAAATGGCATCTAGGGTTGACGCCTGATCGGTGGCCGTGCCGAAGAGGCTTTGACCGGTCCTTTTCGCTCCTCCCTGTAAGGCTTAATACCCATCTATTAACCCCACCCAATCCTGATCAAGCTAACCGAAATATCCTCAGGGCGCGGCTAATCACTATGCGTGGGAACCCCAGTTACAAGAGAGCAAAAAGGCCCCAGGTCTCCTGGGTGAGACCACTGTCTTCTACGTAGAAGACGACAAGCACATCCAACCCCATGAGCTGGGAGAAGATTTCTATTCATCCGACGCGTTCGCAACAAAACTAATCCGGTTCCTGGATGAGCGAGACGCAACCGAAAAGGAGAAGCCATTCTTCGCCTATCTTGCCTTCTCGGCACCTCACTGGCCGTTGCAGGCCCCGGAGAGTGATATTCAGGACTACCGCGGCGTGTACGACGAAGGGCCGGAAGCACTGCGGCAGCACCGCCTAAAGCGCCTCAAGGGACTTGGCTTAATTCCAGAGCACACAGTCCCGCACGATGTCGTCGCTGTCGGCGGCCACGACCTCTCCCGGGACTGGAACGAACTTGACGAGGAAAAGCAGGCGTTCTCCGCCCGGACAATGGAATGTTATGCAGGCATGGTCCAGAACATGGACCGGCACATCGGCCGTGTCGTGGAGTATCTCCGCGAGCAGGGCGAGCTAGAAAACACATTTATCCTCTTCATGTCCGACAACGGCGCCGAGGGCCTCTTGCTCGAGGCTATTCCGATTATCAAGGGCGATGTCCACGACCATATAGCGCAGTACTACAATAACTCATTGCAAAACATGGGCAGAAAAGACTCGTATGTCTGGTATGGGCCGCACTGGGCGTCGGCGGCTACAGCGCCAGGACGTCTGTACAAGTCCTTCACCACCGAGGGGGGAATCCGCGTCCCGTTCATTCTGAATTATCCTCCCCTGACAGCTCATAGACATCCGGGTAGTATTGACCACTCGTTTGCATCTGTGATGGATATCGCTCCGACGATACTGGAGCTTGCGGGTGTTGAGCATCCAGGGACATCGTACCGCGGCCGCACCGTGGCCCCTATCCGCGGCAGATCCTGGGTTTCTTACCTAACCGGACAGACGAGCAGCATCCACCCGGATGATTACGCCATGGCCTGGGAACTCTTCGGTCGGCAGGCTATCCGGAAGGGGCGATACAAAGCCGTGTACATCCCCAAGCCGTATGGGCCTGAGAGGTGGCAACTCTATGACTTGGAACAGGACCCCGGCGAACGCGACGACTTAGCGGACCAATTACCAGACACTCTTGAAGACCTGATAAAGGAATGGGATCAGTACGTCTATGACGTTGGACTGGTTGAGGGTTCGGCGCAGCCTTCTTACGTCGTGGACAAGAAGGACCATTGATATTAAGCATAGATAAATATAATAAAAGCCTCCTTCTTATTTACAAACTGCTTGCTTACTGTGGTTTTACTGATAGAGAAGCTGTTAAAAGAAACACTACCTATTGATATGATCTCCTCCTGTAGGCCTAGCAGGACGGCTGCAGTATCGAGTAGCCTTTGGATATGAATGGGGGCGCAACCTGCCAATCAGTGAGATGAGATTCCAGTAAATTTCAGCCGAAAACCAGCAGTACAACATTGAACTCTCCAAAGCTCGAGATTGCTTTAATTAATGCGTTAGCACAAGAATGTGGTTATGCTGTCAAACCATACGCTCCAATGAGGCCCAGATTGCTGTGGAGCTTCGGTAGATGATTCATATAGGGTGGAAGAAGATGATACAACGCTGGAATAGTATCGTCTATGCTGGTTCGTAGAGGCGATAAACCAGTAGCCTATTTCAAAGAGAGCTATAACATCCCATTCTTCATTCAAATTCTTGGTTATATCTACAGTACTGAAAAACAACATAAAATTCAGGAATAGTGTATTTTCAACGCCACCAGGCTTAATACATGTGAGTCTACCTCGTGTTTATTGGTAATATGCAACACATTTGATCTCCACCAATATCTCTTCGCGTGGCAACGCGCGCACCTCAACCGTTGTCCGAGCTGGCGCCGTAGTACGATCCGGCCACACACGGTTCCACTCCTCGTTCATGCCCGAGTAGTCGTCGCTTATGCTGGTCATGAAGACAGTCGCGTCGACGACGTCGTGAATTCCCGCCTTCCCTTCTGAGGCCGCTTGAATATCTGCGTGTATGTTGGACAGAACTGAGGCGGTTTGCTGCCGGATGTCTAGGTCTAGTGTGACCTTGCCTGTGGCATCTTCTGTGCGAATGGCGCCGACGAATGTTCCATCGCCGCGGCGGGAAGAGGTTCCCGAGACGTATATGTATGATCCTTGTCCGTTGTTCGATGGCACAGTCCGTGCATGGGGATAATTGGCCAAGCCTTGGGCATGGTTTGAGGGCCGGAAGTACGGGGTGGTGGGCGCCATAAGTGGGATTTGGCGAGTATGTTGCGCCGGCAAATAATAATTCAAGTAAAACCAGTCGGGTACAATCTGAAAAAACGAACACTGTGGAATAAATCGTTTATATAGAAGAGGTGAAGGGAATTCCATAGTCTCCATCGGATACATCCGAGCGCATACACCCGAATATTCTTCAGTAGCAAAATGGATGAAGATAGGCCACTTACTAAGAACTTCACTTTTATATAATGTTTTAGCTACGTATTTATAGTACTTGGGGAGAAAATATAAGATGTTTAATGAATGGGCTTAATTAGAATAAATTTTATACTAGTAATTGTCTAGATTGAAATGTTGGATCTAATATATATATGGTGCTGTCAATGCGTTAAGTGTAGATATAAGACTACAGAATATGTTCAACCTACAAATTTACAGCTGCTGGAGGTAGGTGAGGATAGCGACAGATGTAAAGAGCGAGATAGATCACCAAATTATGAAATTTACACAATTTGATGGGGTCGTATGTGGGCGGCTTGGGACCCATGGGCTCCTGTCCCAACTCTCACTTGTGTATCTATATAATTGGTTTATTTGTAATCTCATGGTTTTAGGGAAACGTCTATGCCTTATACAAAAGTCTTTGGAGAACAGTTATATTCAAGCTAAAAATCTGAAACATGAACTGTACGGAGGTTAGTAAAGACATCACGGCTGTGTGCTCCGCCTTCACGGCCAGTGCCAGACGCCTTCATGCCCCCAAACCCTGTGCCGAGCTCCCGAACCAGCCAGCAATTGACCCAAACCAATCCAGCATCGATACACTCGCCCACCCGGCGCATGCGAGCCATATCATTGGTCATGACGATACTGGCCAGGCCATTGGGGTTGTCGTTTGCTAACGTGATCGCCTCTTCTTCTGTGTCGAACGGACACACAGTGACGACTGGTCCAAAGATCTCCTCGCGCATGACTCCACTGTCGGTGTTAAGGCCACTGAGTACCGTCGGCGCGATCCAAAAGCCTTGCTGAGGCTCTTCGTCTGGCACCTCTCCCGTATGGAAAACGGCATTCTCTTCCCGCGCCTGTACTAGATAGGAGCGAACCTTCCTGTAATGCTCCCGCGAGACAACTGGTCCCATCGTTTCTTCAAGCTTGTAATTGGTTTTGACATATTCCGCCAACGCAGACAGGAAGTCCGCGTACACTGCGCGCTGGACGTAAATGCGTGAGCCGCAAAGGCATATCTGCCCGCTGTTCTCAAAAGCCGCCCGAGCAGCGAGAGGCACAGCCTTAGACAGGTCAACATCGTCAAACACCAAGGCTGGATTCTTTCCACCAAGCTCAAGCGACAGATGCTTCCCAATGTCAGCTACGGTGTCCTGTCGGATACGGATGCCTGTGCTTGTGCCGCCGGTAAACGAAATTCCTCGCACGTGCGACGACTTCACGAGTGCTGATCCAGTAGCTGGGCCATCTCCAAAGACAAGGTTCATCACGCCGGCTGGTAGCCTCGCTTGGCGGAAGACTTCACCTAGCACTAGTCAAACAGTCAGTAGGCTGCAGCACGGTATTGGCCAATGGTTTGACATACAAAAGCCTGTTATGCTAGTGACTTCGCTTGGTTTTGCCACACCCGTGCATCCAAATGCGAGACAAGGAGCAATCTTCCACGTCAGGAGATACAGTGGCATGTTCCATGGGGAGATGAGTCCAAAAACTCCAACGGGAGATCGATGTTCATACGTCAAGGTGGATGATTGCCCATCAACGTATCGCACTGCGCCCTCTTCGTGTAGAATGTATGTAGCAAAGTACCTGGGAGAAGCAGTCTCAGCATCTTCTTACGTATCAAGGCCGAGATAATAGTGGAATGTGTCCTGGCAAGGGAGAAAAGCACTAACCGGAAGTTCGAAATCGCACGCTCAATCTCCACACTGGCCCGAGCCAGGGTCTTCCCCTGATCAATGCTCTCCCAGACTGCGAAGAGTTCTTTCTTCTCACTCAGGATGTCAGAAATTCGCATCAAGATCTGCGATCTCTCATGTCGCGATGTCTTTGACCATGCTGGGAACGCTCTGGAAGCCGCATCCACAGCGCGGTCCACTTCAGTCACCGGGCCGTTGGGGATTTGCACCAGAAGGTTCCCGGAACGGGGATTTAATGACTCAATCCATTTCACTGACTCTGAATGTCTACTGAAGTAGCCATCGATAAAGTGGTGTAGACGGGGGACATTGGACCCATGGCTGGCTAGGTAGTCATTTGCGCTCTCCAATGTGTCGAGCTCCCATAGCGTAGAAATAACATCCATGATGAGGCAGGCGAATATACCAACTGATGGTGATCAAGGCCAGCATTATAAACCATGACATTCCTGCTGAGTGAGCATCATTGTCTCCACGCGGAGCACGGGGACCCTATTCGCTACGGGAGCCATCCGGTGCGAGTGTCGCCTGTCAATGCTGAACCGGCTCGCCCCGAAAACATGAACTAGCACAAAAGAACGCTTTCCAACAAAAGGCTATTACTTGAATTGTACTAATTCTGGTATGGTTATGGCTATGAATCTGTTTATTGTATTGTTGATTAAATATCCTGATAATGAATGACCGTGGCAAAGGCACCTATAGTATAGTCCCTACACGTAACTATTTACACTTCGGAAACATGCCCTCCAATTTTAGAAATTCAATAGCGTTCCCTGACAACATCCGCGCCCGGTTTTCCTGTGAAAGGAAATTGCCCACCTGCGCCTCACTGGCCAGCATCTTGCCGGGGACTGGCATCTCGCCGAGCGGGAATGGGTAATCACTGCCCATAATGATTCTCTCCGCCCCGATCTTCTTACAGATATACTGCAGTAGATCTGGGTCATGCACCAAACTGTCGAGCCAGATGTTGTTCTGCTGTGACTGGAAATAGTCCTGAGGAAGCACTCCTTCGGAGCTGTGCGCAACCAGATCAGGGCGACAGTCGTATCCATGCTGAATTCGTCCCAGCAAAGGCAAGTAAGCCCCACCGGCGTGGGCGAAGCACAAACGGAGTTTTGGATGGCGCACCAAGACACCGGATGATAGTATGGAGTGCATTGCAAGCGCTGTCTCGCTGGGCCTAAATCAACATAGGGTTAGACATCAAGACGATAAACTTGCGTACCAAAGGGATTATTCCTTACATTCCAATTAGCCATGCTGACCAGTACTTCCCCCATCGTTCCTTATTCTCCTGCTCTAGCTCGTATCCAAGAGGGTGGATGAATATTGGAAAGTCCAACTCCTCACATGCGGTCCAGAACATCTCAAAGTCGGCACTGTTCAGGCTTTTTCCGTTAATCTCAGTGCCAATCTCCACGCCTTTTAGCCCCAGCACATTCTTTGCGCGCTCCAGCTCCTTGACCGACGCAGCCACATCCTGCAAAGGCACGGTTGCCAAGCCCACAAATCGATCAGGATGATCGCGACATACGGATGCAATGTGGTCATTCAGGTATCGGGCCATCGCCGTGGCTGGCTCAGCAGGCTTGTCATATGAGAACAGCACAGGCACCGTGCTGATCACCTGCACATCCACCCCCGAAGCATACATCTCTGTAATGCGGACGTCTGGATCAAAGCAGTTGGGCTCTACCGTACGGAAGAATCTGTCGCCGACAAACATGTCGACTTTGCTTGAAGTTGTGACATTCTGGCCATCGGATATGTCGCTTGATGTTTCATGCGGCCGAAGGGTAATCCATTCTTGGTTGTTTGACTGCGATACGCCATGAGATTTGGAGATATCAGGTAAATATGGCGGCATGATGTGAGTATGCATGTCAATTCGAAATGGACCATTGTGGGTGCGCTCTGTGCTGATGGGCTGGCGATGATGCTCACCAGCACAGAAACAGCCGTTGGAATTAATCGTCATCGTAAATGGCAATGAAATAATGTATATGTTGACTTGAAAGAGTGGTGGCTCGCCAGGGAACAAATAGATGCTTCTGTGCTGACAATATAGCGGAGTAAATGCAGTACTATATGACGTGAAGGGCTACTCTGACTTAGCCTTGTCCTTATTTCATTGTTTCTTGACCAGTTAGTTGACATCGGGTATAGGCGAACAACTGTGGCCATGGCCTTCGGAACTCCGTAAGACCAATATGGATCCATCCGATGCCTCATTCGGAACGCTATCCGGCCTGGGACCACCGCAAATTCACAGTGGAAACCCTTATTTGTGTTCAAGCTGGCCGCATGAGAGCAGCCCATTCCCTCCATCTTCTATATCCAATCTACAACCTGCTTCTGTCCTTGCCAAAAAAGAAATCATGGAGCAGCACGTCTCGTCCACTCCAAATCCTATCCCGGGAGTCGTTGTTCTGCAGTCATGGCTATCTGCCAATGCCCAGAATTTACTGCCCCCAGTAAATAATCAATGCGTGTATTCTGGAAAGGACTTCGTTTTAATGGCTGTTGGAGGGCCGAATACGAGGAATGACTATCACAGTGGGTATCATCTTTCGGAGAGAAGGGCAATACAGGGGTACTCTATGCTAACGTGGTTGTTCGGGACAAAGTTAACCAGACAGAGGTAAATCCCCATCATAAGATTGACGAAACCGTAAACTGACAATGGCATGTTTTCTTGCATCAGGAGTGGTTCTACCAAATTAAGGGTGACATGTTGCTCAAGATTGTCGAGAATGGCGATTCCTTTCGTGACATTGTGATTCGAGAAGGCGAGATGTTCCTTCTGCCTGGTACGATAACTTGCTATCCTTGCTCTCCACCTATTAATTACCACTGCAGGAAACATCCCGCATTCCCCAATCCGGTATAAGGACACAATTGGCCTCGTCATGGAGCGCACTCGGCCCTCGCACGTAATGGATCGCATACGGTGGTACTGTCCCAACGAGGAGGCTCACCAGACTGCCCCCAGTATCATCCGGGAAGAGACATTCCACTGCGCAGAGATCGAAACACAACTTAGGGATCTCATTAATCAATGGATGACGGACGAAAAAGCACGAAAGTGTGATGGTTGTGGGCAGATTGCGCCGCCGTATTGATTCCAATGAATTTGGCTATGCATGCCAGGCTGTGGCCACCATAGGGGCCTTTGGAAGCCCTATACCCTAGTATCCCCATACTGCCTGTTTTTTATGAGGATGGAAATGGTGATATTGTTGACAATAATGTGATAGCCGGTTATATCATTCGGAATGTGACAAGAATAGATCAAAGGATGACATGAGCATAGTATCTTCAAGCAAGTCCGTTGGCGGTGAATCTCCCAGTGTAGGCGGCAGAGGAGGAATACCGGGTAGGAGGAAATCACTGGAGCCAATTGTAGCATTCAGCATAGGCAATCTGTCTACCTCAGAAATCATGGACGGCTGGTTCAGCGTGCAGTATGGGGAGGGAGCAGGAGGAGCATAGAAGTTCTGCGATAACCTGCGCCGCTTTGGTTGTCTTTCAGACAGTCGTGAATCCTGTCCATAATTATGCGATAACAGGCTTTGTGGCGTCCTTGTGAGGTCTGCCTCAGGGGCATTGTTCACTAGGTCCCCGCGTTGACACATGGTGTCGTTGTTGGCGGTACCCGGCAGATATTGATGCAGGTTGTTGCCGTGGCTGCTACTGGTTCTGCGCAGCGAACCATCATTCGTTCTGCTATCTCCTATTGGTCCTGAACAAGTTTCTTCCCCGTACCGATCGAACACTCTATGGAACAGCTCGTGCTTGCTAAGATGAATTTGTGTCCGGTACATATCTTCTTCGGTGAGCTTTTGATAGCTCTTGACCTCCGGCCATTGAACTTTGATCTTTCGTAAAATGTCGCAGCCCCTCTGGACATCGGGCCAGGCATTGTTAGTGAAGTCTTTGTTCTTTACCAAGCGCATGCAGTGTAAGAGGACTTTGGCACTAGTATAGACTGCCCGGCACTGCTGGATCACAAAGTGGCAGGCAGGCACAGTAGCCATCACTTGTGGAGTGACCCGGATACAGCTTGACGCGGCCTTGGCGCAGCGTAGAAACACTTCAGGTTCCTCGATGTTGAGTTTCTCAATAAATGTGCGGTAAAGCAGGACAAGCCCGATGTAGTAGGACGACTCAGCGATGTTCTGTAGTGCGAGAGGTCGAGCCGTACCATGAGACCCTTGCATTCTAGGCAGAACCCGCTTAGTGTAGTACCTCTCCAGCTCGATATCGTATCTTTTCATCTCTGACCGCAGCATACCATCTCCATGCTCGTCATTGTGGGACTGGTGGCGTCTGCGAATCCACCGCACAGACTTGTAAATGCGGCCAAGGATAATATGAAACTCGGCAATGACTGGGAACCAGGGATCGACCTTGTCTTCCGATCTCCAAGTTAACCGTCCCTCGCCACCATACAGGTCCATGTTGCTCTCGGCGTTATCAATCGCCAAGGGCTTGAGGAGCACTGTGGACAAGGAGCGGTCCAGAATGTATAAACACCACCAAAGGTTATCATGTGTGCTGTCGGTTGTGTGTACTTCAGTCGCCGCATCAACGCCATTGTCAAAATCCAATGCTTGATATAGACGGATCGCATGGCCCGCTGTAATCCAAGCGTCGTTCACTTTGCCACACTCGGTGAGGTAGAAGGTCAGAAGGCCTTGCGCAACGACGAGGTTGGTGGCTAACGTGGCGTTCTGCCCGGGTGGCCGTCCCGGGAATTTAGGAGTCGCATGAGAGTATAGCAGACCTCCAAGGTCCACCTGTTTGTAGGCTTTTAGGCAAGGTTGATCAAAGATAGGGCTCTCTGCTGGGAGCAGGAAGGATGCTACGGCGAGTAGTGCATACAAGACCAGCAGGAATTCGTCGTCTTCGCTGGCGCGGCTGCCTTGGCGAGCCGATAACCAGCGATCATACTGTGGTTGGAAATCACATTGGCTGATGATGGGGAATATGGGATATATAGAACGGTAGAATAATTCAATCAAGAGCTGCAGAAGCGGCTCTGGCAATCGGGTCACGTCGATTGCAGCGGACTCTGGGTGCCGCGGCGGCACTGTCATAGGTTCCACCTGCTGGGTCTCAGAGCCTTCGTTGAGACTGTCTCCCTGTTGGTCTAGCAGAGAATAAGGATCATGATTGGCATTATCGCTGTTCGACACATTTGCGGCCATTATACGAGGTACAGGTGGATTCATTGCCCCTCTGGTGTCCTGGTCTTTCTGGCCCGTTTGAACATCTTCATCTAGACTGGATTGGCCGTCATGGCCGGTTGATGGCTGTGCTTCTGATTGCTGATGTAATCTCTTTTCCATCAGCTTGATCTGGTTCTCCAGTTTCATGAGATATCTAAAGGAGTGGTCAGCGGTGTCGTTTCTGATGCGGAGAGGGCGAAAAGAGGTCATTCATCGCCAGAGGGGGGAGACGCACTGCGGATCAACCAACTTCATGTTGACGGACGGGTCAACATAAACACACTCGGCCTGGTTGCGAGTGCAGCTCTCGCACGGATGCTCGCCATCACACTTGACTTTCTTCCGTCGACATGCCTGACAGGCACGCCAAACCCGCTGGCGCTCGTACATTGCGGTGAGCGTGCGGAATATTTTTGTAATAGACCCCGAAGAGTGAGGGGAGAGTTGGGGAAGAAGATGTTCTATGGTGGAGCCCGGAAGCGACAGTTTTGACGCCGGCCCCATTTTGATGTTATTGTTCTGTCATCCTGGTACGCACTACCAATGCATTAGGTTAGACTGTTAGGTTCATGTAGCAATACCTAATTGATACATGGTATTCATACTTACCTATACGGCATACCATACAAAAGAGCGTATTACAAGTTATTCATTGCCACACAAATTGTGGATTTAGTTAGAGAATTCGATATTCCTGAGGTTACCCCATATATTGTACATTGTACGGATTTCTGTCAAGGGACCTTTATGTTACTGGGGTATGACCCACATGAATCCACAATACAACCGGCATTCTGGCCGAGGCCAATCAAGTACGAGATGATTCAATCTATGGGGCCTCCACGTTGGTTATGATACTAGTACATAGTAGTATTCCCCTGTAGTAGTGAATAATGGTACATTGATGTTCATCCGAACTCCTTTCCAGATCACAGTATAACATGGATAAGGTAAGTCTAAACCTATTGAATGACGGAAGCTATTGAGAGGGTTGCTCTAAAATTGACCGACATATGCTGATCATTCATTTGCTCTGTTGCATTATCGGTATTTTATTGATAACTCAGGTGTTTCCTATTGCACGATATGCGCGTTGGCCATGTATCTTATGGTCCTGCCCCATTATAGCGAGATATATGTTACTACACGATGCTTTCCCGCAAAACCAATGAGATAGTTTTCGGTAAATTCTATTGCTAATACAACCTCTAGGTCCTAAGGCCCCCGGATGATGCCGATAACTCGTTCCGGCCGAGGTCTATCTTATCACCCAGAAGAAATGATACGAAGTGGAAAAGTCTATATAATACCAGTGTGACCTCACATGAATAGGCCTACTATTACATGCAAATAATCGTCACAGACCAAGCATACCATAATAACACAAGATTGAGATAAGCCTCATCACCATGAGCTCCGAGACCACCGGCCGTCAACATGTGGCACCAGCAAGTATCCGTGATGCCTTTTCCCGGGCCATGTCTGCTATGTACACGACTGAGGTCCCCCTATACGGAACACTGTTGTCTCTTGTTTCTCAAGTCAACAAAACGACCCTTGAGCAGGATGATTCACTACGCCGACACTTGGAGGCCACAGATGACCTAGCCCGCATCGACCTGGAACGACACGGCGCCATCAGAGTTGGGACCCCGGCAGAACTTCATTCAGTGCGACGCGTGCTTCAGCCAATGGGCATGCTTCCAACTGGGTATTACGACCTGTCCGCAGCGGGGGTACCAGTGCATGCAACGTGCTTCCGGCCTCACAGCGCAGCGGAGTTATCCAAAAATCCATTTCGCTTGTTTGTTTCTCTGCTGCAGCCGAACCTGATCCCAGATGAAAGGATCCGAGCCATGGCTATGGAGACTCTTGGTCGTCGCCAGATCTTCTCGTGTCGCATGTACGAGATCCTGGACATATACGAGAGCTGTGGTGGCCTTACAAATGTCGAGGCTGAGGAGTTCGTGCAGGAAGCCAGGGATGGCTTCCGATGGCATGCTAACGCTGCTGTTCCTCACGACGACTACCTACGGCTTCTGCGCGAGAATTCTGTCCTGGCTGATATTGTCGCTTTTCGGTCACCTCACATCAACCATCTTACTCCTCGCACCCTGGACATAGATGTGGTACAGTCCGAGATGCGCGACTGGAATATCCCGCTCAAGGAATACGTCGAAGGTCCGCCGAAAAGGAAGTGTCCGATTCTACTGCGACAAACCAGCTTCAAAGCCATCGAAGAGCCGATTCAATTCCCAACGGACACAAAGGGCCCCACAAACTCGGCTAATGCTGTGTTTGGGCATCATACAGCCAGATTTGGAGAGATCGAGCAGCGGGGTGTGGCCTTGACAGTCAATGGGCGTCAGATGTACGACTCAATGTTGCAATCGGCGTTGCAGGATGGAATCACAGCGGTGCATGCAGACGCATATTCGCTGAAATTTGCTGACTTCCCCGACTCATGGGAGCGTCTACGTGCGGAAGGCCTGGCGTGGTTTCAATACCGTGTTGATTGGGACAAAATGCAGTCGGCAGGGACTCTGAAATCCAATGATCTTGAGAATCTGATTCAATCTGGTTATGTGGTATACGAGCCCATAATTTACGAGGATTTCCTCCCTGTCAGCGCAGCAGGCATCTTCCAGAGCAATCTTGTCAATCCTAGGGCGACTAACGGCGGGTCGCCCGGATCGGTTCCTTGCAGTAACAAACGAGAATTTGAGCTTGCCCTGGGCGTAGAGATTATGGACGAGATGAGGCTATACAAAAAGATCCAGGACGATAGTCTGGCGAAATGTCGTCAATGTGTTCGAGACTTTGGGCAGGGGATAATCACAAAATGAGAGAAGTCGGGATAGGGAAATCAATCATTCCGGTTCTATTTGGGTCATGTACATTGCTTCTTTACACAGTCCATAGCTATGCTAGCATAGAGTCATCTTATCTGCACCATTAGAGCTTGCATTATGAGACATATTGTGAGACTTAACAGAATTGGTTACTCTTCGTTCGATTTTATATAGTAGTATTTTATACACCACACATTCCCTGTTTGCAATGACTAGTTATTTTGTATCTTAATGAGCAGTTTTCCAGTTGTCTTCTGTGTCGTAAGATCATCCTGGGCCTGCGCCACCTCCTCCAAGCCATATTCACCTCCAAACTCTAGCCTCACGGCACCAGATCCCACCAAGTCCAGCAACTGCCGCGATCGCAAGACAAACTCATCCCTTTCGGTGATATAATTTGCCAGTGTCGGTCGCACGAGTTTAACATTTTTCTTGCTCAGATCCAGGACTCGGAAACTAGATACAGCGCCACTGCTATTGCCATACGAAACCAGAGTCCCCATTCTCCTCGTGCAGGCCAGGTCTTGGGCAAAGGTAGCCTCTCCAACGCCACTGAGTACCGCATGGCATCCCTTCATGCTGGTTATTCGCATGACCTCCTCTTGCACATCATTCCTCTTGTAGAGAATAACATGGTCGCATCCGTGCTTCATGGCAATCTTTGCTTTTTCGGGGGTGGACACCGTGCCGATCACAGTGGCACCGAGGTGTTTACACATTTGCACAAGCAAGCCACCTGTACCCCCAGCAGCTGCTTGGATAAGGATAGTCTGCCCAGGCTCGACCTTGTGGGCATCTTGAACGATCGTCCATGCCGTCAGACCCTGCAGCATAATCGCAGCGCCTTGTTTTGTCGACACAGATGGCGGTAATACCATGACGCTCTCGGACGGCGCAGAGACGTACTCTGCCATGGTGCCTTGAGTGAAGACTGCCACTCGCTGATCGAGCTGGAGACCATATGACGAAGGCACATTAGGCCCAATCTTGACGATAGTACCGGCGCCCTCGCGGCCGACCTGAAGGGGTAGTTTCACCGGATAGAGGCCACTACGCTGGTAGGTATCGACGAAGTTTACCCCCGCGTAATCGACTTTCACTAGGACGTCTGTGTTGTTCATGACTGGGAGTGAATGCTGATTCTCAAGGCGCAGGACAGAGGAGTCGCCATGTTTGTCAATGACAACGGCTTTCATAGATTGTGGGAGTGTGTCCATGTTTGCAAGGTGATAGTATGTGAGGTCGTTGATTTGATGTTTTGGTGTTCTGGAAATGCGAAATGGAATCTACGGTTTCTATTCCTAGATAAGGCGCTAAACTTGATATGCTATTCTAGACACAGACTGTTTCCTCTCTGCCGTATGTATAAGAAAGCCGCGGGAGCAGTCCGGAGAATCAATGAGATTTGCCTGTTGATAGTAGATGACCGGAGAGACCCGTGAGTGGCTCGTTTTATAAAGAGTGGGTCCACCGAGGGATCGGGTTGCTCCGTGGTTGGCCACGATATTTGTTGATAAAGTCGTAGTTTTCCTGACCTTTTTAACAAGCCAATTTGCTGCTAATCCAATCTCAGTTAACAGATTTTGTTCCACTCGATTTCCAATTCAGGTGATCAAAGATGTTAACATCTCTTTTACAAATGACGCTTCATTCAAGATTGGAGGCTCCAGTTGCCGCATACACCCACGGCCGTCTCTAACCGCCAGAGTCCACCACAACGAATTCTTCTATAGAAAATTTGACTACCTAGCTCTACTCTATAAGCTCCCTTCAAATTAGCTCTTACCGAGTTTGAGTGTTCCGACATACGGTAATGGGAAGAGTATAAGAATGAGATTGAATGGCTTCTCCGGCTTAGAGCAATTCGGTGTACGGTTCATCGTACAAATTTGGAGATGTTCAAGGAAATTATAGTATCACAAAGACTTAAGACTCCCTATAGTAATATCAAATACTATCAAAATCGGAGTTAGTAACTCCGAGATCGCCGTGGAGTCGATAGTCTTAAATGGGCATTGACCAATGAGAATGGCTGTACGTAATTTGATCGGGGTCACTTGGGGTCTTCTTCGGCCAAACGAGTCAATCGATGTACTTGAACTTGTTTTAACCTTTGATTTTATTTGAACTGTTCTCCGACTAGATTTCTCACATTCTTTCTATATTCCTTTATTAACGTGGCCAGACACCGCAAATGCCCTAACGAATTAATGCCTTGATTCGATATCAACCTCATCAAATTGAAATCACGACCGCAATCGCAAGTCACCGGTCAAACAATACGACCTACAAAAATTACCCCATCATGATATCCGCCAGTCTAAACCCCCACCTCAACACAAACGCCAAAATGACCATTCCAGAGCTGGCCGCAGCGGAAGACGAAAAACCCGCCCAAGAGTCACGCGTCCTAATCATCATGACCGGTGGCACAATCTGCATGCAGCCCTCACCAGCCGGCTTCATCCCAGCACGAGGATTCCAAGAAAACTGCATGGCGCGAGTGCCGACCTTTAACGATGGCTCCAACAGCGCAACAATGGACGTTGTTACCAATGCAGCGGGCGAGATAAAAGAGCATCCGAGCCTACGCACCCCGATGACAGCATACGGACGACAGGTGCGGTACACAGTTTTTGAGTTCGAAGAACTACTCGACAGCAGCTCGATTGACGCAAGGGGCTGGACTCAGATCGCGGAGGCGATCGAGCGGAATTACAAGCTATTCGATGGGTTCGTTGTTCTGCACGGGACGGACAGTCTAGCGTACACGTGCTCGGCGCTCAGCTTTATGTTGCAGAATCTTGGAAAGCCGGTTGTTCTTACTGGGTCTCAGGCGCCGATGCTTGAGTTGCAGAATGATGCTACGGATAATTTGTTGGGCTCGTTGGTTGTTGCGGGGCATTTCATGATTCCCGAGGTGTGTTTGTATTTTAATAATCGGTTGTTCCGGGGGAATCGGACGACAAAGGTTGCGGCGAGTGACTTTGCCGCGTTCGATGCGCCGAATTGTGCACCCTTGGCCGTTACGAATTCTATGCGGACTAATGTTAATTGGGATATGGTGCATCGGCCTACGAGCTTGGAGCCGTTTAGTATTCAGACCAATCTGGATACTACCCATGTTGCTTGTCTGCGTATCTTCCCCGGTATCAAGCCGGAGATGGTGGATGCGGTGCTGAAGTTGGATGGGTTGCGTGGGTTGATTCTGGAGACTTTTGGTGCAGGCAATGCGCCCTCTGGTCAGGACAATGCTATGATCAACGTCTTGGCCAGTGCTATCCAGCGGGGTATTGTTATTGTGAATATCACGCAATGTGAGTTATCCAGCGGCTTGGCAGATCGATACAGGATATACGGCTGACATATCTTCTAGGTCTCACGGGCAGCGTTAGTCCAGTCTATGCGACAGGCATGAGTCTCTCTCGGGCAGGAGTCGTAGCCGGCCTCGACATGACAACCGAGGGAGCATTAACGAAACTCGCCTATCTTCTGGCCCTACCAGAATCCACCCCGGAATCCATCGCGAAACGCATGTCAGTATCTATCCGAGGTGAGCTGACCGAGTCATCATTACCTATCTTCCGACACCCCGACGGAGGACTCCCCGAGCGCATTCAGACACTCACCTCGATGGGATATGCCATTTCCCTCGGTGACCTGGAGAAGGTCCAAGCCATCACCAAGACAGAACACCACTGGCTGCTGAACGACGCCGACTATTCCGGCAACACGCCCATTGTAAGCATCCCGTGTTCCTAATCCCCGTCCCTTGTCTCACATCCCTATCTCTGTTCTTATCTTGTACTAACCCAACACAGCACCTAGCAGCCACATCCCCGTCAATTGAAATCCTACACTTCCTCCTATCGCAAGGCGGCTCCGTGCACCTCCGCAATCGCGCCGGCCGCACCCCGCTCTTTTTGGCAGCGAACGCGGGCCTCTCGGAGCACACGCTCCTCCTCCGCAAATCCGGTGCTCACCTGCATTCGGACGAGCGACCAGCTGCAGAACTACTGGCACGTCATCGTCCCTTCGTCTGGGGTATGGCTGGGGTTGGGCCGAAAGAGATAAGCCAGCGGGAGATGGAGGAGGAGTGGGATTCTAGTAAGAATCGGATGATTCCTGGGTCGGCGCCTTAATCGGGTGTTTTTGGGGTTTCGGGGTTTAGGTTTCTACCCCTGGATTGGGGTTGGTATGTTATAGTTGTGTTTGGCCTTTTTGGCCTTATGGGGAAGTCGGTGAATACTTGGACTTTTTTTTTTCTTGATGGGGTCTAGAAATGATGTGACATCAATATACAACATAGAATATTATAGAATGTCTTCGGATATATTGTTACCCCTCCACTTTGGTGGCACCATCACCAGGTTGTAATACGGAATTTCATCCGCGGAGATCAGCCCCTGCCGTAGCCGGGATTTTTGAGCCACTAAGTGGGGACGATAAGGCAATTTTCTCTCATTTTGTTTTTCCGGGGTTTGATGTTATTGTATTTATACATTTACAGGGTTACTGCCAAGGTAGTTATTGAGGTTCTAGATTATATTCGCCTATGTACAGAGTATATTATATAGGGAGTTTCCCGAGGTCTTCATGGTGGGGTAATTGCCCTTGGTTTTTGCTTCTTTTTGCTTTTTTTCTTGGCTTTTGCTTTTTTTTTCAAATACTCATACGGAGTATAAGAACAGTGTTATAACATTCCCCATAGATCACGAAAATAATCTCATCTGTGCCCACCTTGGTGGCTGCAGGGAATGATGTGATGCGGGGGTCAACTAAAAATGATGAAAAAGGCAATGTACCTAGCTGGACGTATCGGGTTAAAAGGCAAGACAGGTATCACGTCAATTTATGCCAAGACCCCAACACCACTATTGGAACTAGCCCCAATCCCGGATTAGATATACGATATACACCACGTGAGACTGTTCCTGGCAGACAGTTGGTGGAGGAGTTCAAAGTCACCTGAGGCATTTTGTTGGGTATTACCTCGGGAGTTCCACTATATTTTAAGGCTTGGCATGAATATATAGATCTAGATACTCTATAGATAGATGTATAGATCGATAGATCTTAAGTATATAAGGAAGTATATAAGTATATCAAGAATATAAATGAATACAAATAAGAAGAAACCGAGTCTATAAGTTCCCGAATGAGGATCTTCCCGCTGCCGAAATTGTCCATTGCCGATTTACGTAAAAATCTGTGGACGAGACCGCACTTGTGGATTTTTTTTGTCTTTTTTGTCTTTCTTTTTTTTTTTTTTTTTTTTTTTTCTTTTTTTTTTTTTCTTTTTTTTTTTTTTTTTTTTTTTTCCTTTGTATTTGAATATTTGAATTTGTTATTGGGGAATATCACTATATCACTCATATTAGAGACAATGTTAGAGATATAAAAGAGTATAAGGGAAGTATATAAATTAAATTCTTATCTTATCCTTTTCCTCTCTCCGCGTTTTCGGAATTGAATGGAATTTTTTTATCTTTTTTTTTATTAAAAATTGCAGATCAGAAGGTCAAAAAAGAATATCGCAGTTAGGTCTGATCGCGATTTCTCGTTACATACAACTTTCAATCTACCCCACCATCGCAAACCCTTCCTCGCCAAGGCTTACTCCAGATTTCTCTTTTATCTGTCCTCCTGCCCTCTTCTTTCTCTAATACTTTCCTTATACTCCTCCCCCAAGGTCCTCCCCACCAACCCGAATGACACAACCTCAGAAGACCATTGCCGTGGTCAACGGGACAGGCCGACAAGCGGCCTCGCTAATCCGCGTCGCGTCCGCCGTGGGGTACTCAGTGCGCGCGCAAATCCATTCCCTGAAAGGCGTTATCGCACCAGAACTTCAACAACTACCCAATGTGACCCTCCTCCAAGGCCCGCTCCTCGGGAATATCGCCCTGATGGACGAACTCTTCAAAGGCGCCCAACTCGCCTTCATCAACACCACCTCCCAGTCCGGCGACGAAGTAGCCATCGGCCGCGACTTGGCCGACGCCGCAAAACGGTCCGGCTCAATCCAGCATTACATCTACAGCAGTATGCCGGATCATTCCGTTCACGGTCCCTGGCCCGCAGTCCCGCAGTGGGCACCCAAGTTCACCGTCGAAAACTACATCCGTCAGCTCGGTATGCCGGCCACATTCGTCTATGCCGGTATCTACAATAATAACTTCACGAGCTTGCCATACCCGCTCTTCCAGATGGAACT